AACGATATGGACCATTGATCCACCAACCACCTGAGGAATTGCACGTAATGGCCTCGCCATGGCCTTTCGCGCAATGGGGGATGGATGTGGTCGGTCCTCTGCCAACTGCAAGAGCTCAGAACAAGTATGTGTTACTGGCCACGGATTACTTCACTAAATGGGTGGAGGCAGAACCGTATCCTAGCGTGACTCAGACTCATGTGAGACGATTTATTTGGAACAATATTATCTGCCGTTTCGGTGTTCCCAGATCAATAGTCATGGACAATGGCACAAACCTCGACAGCAGGCAAGTAAGAAAGCTGCTGGAGGAGTATGGAATCAACTAGAAGTTGGCTGCAGTAAGTCATCCTCAGGCCAACGGACAAGCAGAAATCACAAACAGAACCATTTTCGCCTGCATTAAGAAGAAGCTGGAAGATCATAAAGGGAAGTGGTTGGATGAACTCCCGAACGTTCTATGGGCTTACAGAACCACCCCAAGGCGGCCGACTGGGGAGAGCCCGTTCGCAATGGCGTATGGTACCGAGGCAGTTATACCGGTTGAACATTTAGTCCCCACTATCAGAAGCTTAGCATGGAGTCGAGATCAGAACGACAAGATGTTAAGATTGAACCTCGATATGATAGACGAAAGGAGGGACGCAGCGGCTATAAGGCTAGCATCGTATCAGCAAGTGCTGGCGAATAGTCACAACAAGAGAGTACAACACAGGGATTTTGCCCCTGGCGATCTGGTTCTGAAAAGAAAGGTGGGGATGGTCAAAAAAATGATGCCACCCTGGGAAGGCCCATACAGAATTGCAGAAGTCATTGGCAAGGGGGCATATACGTTGGGAACCATGGCGGGAAGGTTGGTCAGCAAGCCCTGGAACGCCACGTCTCTGAAGAGGTACTACCAATAAAAGCTAAGTTCCGACTTTAATTGGATGTTGTTTGTTGTCAATCAAATACGTATGAATGAGCAAGTTACTGAAATTTACAAAAAAGAATTTTCTTTTCCAACGGTCTACTATAAAAATTTTAAGCCAAGTGGCAAGTGGCATTCTAGCCGAGCGCCAGGCACTTAAGCAAGATAAGTGGCAGCTGGCACTATAAGCCGAACGCCAGACACTTGCTAAAAACTTAAAGCCAAGTGGCAAGTGGCATTCTAGCCGAGCGCCAGGCACTTAAGCAAGATAAGTAGCAGCTGGCACTATAAGCCGAATGCCAGACACTTGCTAAAAACTTAAAGCCAAGTGGCAAGTGGCATTCTAGCCGAGCGCCAGGCACTTAAGCAAGATAAGTGGCAGCTGGCACTATAAGCCGAACGCCAGACACTTGCTAAAAACTTAAAGCCAAGTGGCAAGTGGCATTCTAGCCGAGCGCCAGGCACTTAAGCAAGATAAGTGGCAGCTGGCACTATAAGCCGAACGCCAGACACTTGCTAAAAATTTAAAGCCAAGTGGCAAGTGGCATCCTAGCCGAGCGCCAGGCACTTGCCATAAACAAACACACGGCAAAGCTAATATAAAAGAAAAAGAGAGAAAAGATATGTATGTATTGAAGATAAGTTGAATAGAGCACAACACATAGGGAAAAAAAGTTCTGTCGTTTCATTAATATTGAGCATTGAGTTTACAAAAGAGAGATGTCCATCATTACAAAAAGATATGGAATGGAAGAATTCAAAGGAGCCCTAGCTAGACGCCTCAGTACCAACAGCATCCTGGTCGTGCCGACTCGCCTCCTCGGCCCCATCAGCCGTCTCACCTTCATGAGGTGGGGAATCAAGGTGAATGACTGAATCGTTCGGCTGGGGTTCAGCGTCAGCAATGGCTACGGAAGGAACCACGGTTGACGATTGAGGAGCGGTCAGTGGCAGAGCGGTAGGAGGAGCTGTGATGATCCTTGAGGAAGCAATGTCCTGGCACTCATCAAATATACGCTCCGCTTCGGTGGGTTCTGGGTCGACATAGACCCCCAGAGGTTCGATCCCCAGATCCATGTCTACCTCATCCGGAGTGGAGCTGGTCTGTCCCTCATCCGGAACCCGGTCGGCGAAACCTTCCCGGAATCCTTGAGCATACCTAAGAGCACCGACCCTTGAGAACCGAGCGTGAAGGGCCAGCATCCCACCACCCACTCTGCTGATCGCGTCGATCAGAGCGGTATGCTCGTCCAGAGCTCTTTTTTCAAAAGCCATCCGAGCAGACTGTTCATCAGCCAGAAGGCGCTGGAGTTCTGCCTTCTCTTCTCTAATTGATTCCCGCTCGGTCTGCCAGACGCTCTTCTCAAGCTGGAGGGCGTCCTTCTCATCCTGAAGGGAATCATTCTCCTTCTTCAGGACATCTCTCTCTTGCTCGGTTTTGTCAAGCCGAGCCAGTACCTCGGTATTCTTCATGGCGAGGAGGTCGTTTTCTTTATTAGCCACCTCCAGGCTGTCAGAAAACTTACGGGCCCTGGCGTTCCCCATCTCCACCTGCTTCTGCATGGCCATCATTCCGAACAATGTCTGCATAGGTGCACATTAAAAACGGTTAAGCCAATAGTCAGGTCGGGCGAAGGCAAGACCAAATAATATGAGAGAATTCATGAGTTAGAAAATAAAAGTCACCTCCATAGCAGATTGGGGAAAGCGGCTGAACACATCCTTCTGGGAAAGGCCCTTTGCCGCCTCAAGGTCCTTCGGAGTCCACATGCTCCTGTAGTAGGCCATAGCGGTCTGGCCATCCTTCAGCATGGTCTCATTCGGTTTCACGAACGTCCCATCCGTTCGGGTGTACCGAGGGGCCCATGGCGGTAAGGTGGGGATAGAAGGGGGGCCTGAAGCAGAAGCAGAGCCACCAGCTGCAGCAGGCCCAGAGGGAGCAGGAGCTCTGACCGCTCGGTGCAAGAGAGCACCCGGCCCGGAGACCCGGGTCCTTCTAATGAGAGGCTCATCCTCAGGATCGACTTCACTATCAGGACGAGGCCTTTTGCCTCGTTCTTTGTCCCGACCGCCCCCCGCAGCAGCAGGAGCTATGGTAGCTGCGGGGGACGCGTTCTGGTTGGCAGCAGGGGCGCTGGCAACAGGGTTAATAGCCACTGCGCTCGGGACAGTGTCAGATATGGTGGCTGAGGAAGAAGCTGACGCTGGAGAGGAGGTCGCCCCATCAGCAGGAGTGGCTGGGGGAGTATTTTTCTTCCTGCCAAAAGAAGGAATCTGAAGTCTGCTCATGTTGTAGCCGAGTGATGAGAGTGCTAAGAGGTTGTCTGAAGTGAGGAGATCTGAGCAGGAAGGAATATCGTTCAGAACGTATTTCTTCAAGTAGTTACTCCTATCCCTGCAAACACTATAGCTCAAGTCATCACAAGGTATTCCCAAGGAACGGCATAAGAAAGTGCAAAAACGAGGAACGCATGTTTCGCAGGGGCAGTCATGTTTATGAGATTTGAATTTCTTATAGGAGGAGACAGAACAGACACCAAAGGCGCTCGGGATTGGGTAATCCTCTGCAGCCGGCGAAGACCAAGCCCCACTAATGCCCACGATGCTATCCCTCCAACCCTTCTCAGATTTTATTGTGTCCGTACATATGGACATCTTCTCGAACGGGTAGAGGTGGTAGAAGGGTTCGTTAGTACGGATCTTACTGACCTTATAGCACAGAAGGAGGTCTATGAGGTCGAGGTCCAGATTTCTGTCACGCATCAGCAAGAGCATAACAGATATGATTCTAAAGAAGTTGGGGTTGACCTGCAGAGGGGATATCCCCAGTCTATTGAAGACATAACTAAAGAAAGGGTGCAGAGGGAACCTAACAACATTCAATTGAAGGTTCGTGAATAAGACTTCGCCGGGCAGGAGGCCGGCGCCGGTCATAATGTTAACATCCTGGGGGCAAACCCTAACTTCGATGTTGTCAGGAAGTCTAAGTCTCATACGAAGAACATCCAGATCTACAACCATGGTGGAAGTGCTAGAAAAATCTAAAAGGGGGTAAATGGAAGCCTGCCGAAAGTAAAAAAGAACGAAACTAACCTCGGAGGACTGCAAGATCGCTGGAAGAATGACTCTTGAAGGATTTCACCAGAAAAAGCTTAGCACTGTTCTAGAAAGAGAGAGACTTGGCTTATGATGGAGACGGTAAAGGGAAGTGAAGTGGAATTCTAGAGCATTATAAAGGCGAGGGGGCCCGAGGGCCGAAGCATCGGGAAGGCGAGAAATTCCTCGAGCCCCGGAACATTGATTCTGGATCTGACCGTCCGCTCCCCCACGTGGTTATCTCGAGCCGTCAACATCATGATGAGACGCCATCAATAATTACCCCTTATTAAATAAGGGGCAATTATGGGGGCAGTTGAGGAGGCGCGGACGACATGGGCCGGATCCGACTCACAAACACAACATTCAGTTCGTACAGTTGGGTCGGCCCATATAAAGACACTGCCATATGGGCCGAACGGGAGTAAGCCCATCAAAGGTGACCAGGGCTTATGGAGGAATAGGCCCAGATCCAGCAATCAGTAAATATCTTGTAAATATCTTGTAAATATCTATAAATAGGATAAGGAATGGAAAGGAGGGGGATCTTTTTGGGTTAAGGTGTAAGAATTCTAGAAAGAGAAAGAGGAGAACGAATTTCTTGCATCTTCAAATATGCAAAAATCCCTATGAAATAGAAAAGAGTATTCCACGTGCATTTCAAGTTTTTCTTCACAAAATTGATTGAGAATTTATGGATGTCGTCGTGAGTGGGTTAGTTAAGGTAGCCAAATTTTATTTTTTTTTATTTACCGAAAAAAAAAAATTCTCACACCCTGGTCCGTTGATATTGTTCTATGACATCATCATACACTCTGTCAACGGACCAGGACGCTAGACCATGATAAGAACAACGCCGTCACAATACAATAGCACTGCTCCAAACTTCGCCACGCGTTACTACAATACAAGTTTAATTTCGTCATCAGGCTCGCCGGGTCGGCTCGCAGAAAGTGAATGAAACATCGCGAGCTACAATATTAAATAGCCCTCTTGATCACAGGTTAGCCTTCTTCTTCGCGAGGCAACGATTGTCATATAACCGTTTTATATAAGCAGAGAATTCCCACTCGACCTTTTCAGTTCTCTTTCAACTTCTAGTGAGAGAAAGTGAAATATAGAGAGAGAGAATGGGGAAGGCCATGGCCGCTTCGCTTCTACTGTTGCTATTCTTGATCATACATACAAACGCTGGAGAAGCTTTCGACGTTCGTCAACATCTCTCAACTGTAACAAGGTTCATCTTACACTGAAATCTCTCTGTTAATTGCCTTCATTGGAATCCGTAATCGAACATCGAAAATCATGTTTCTAGGGTTTGGCTTTATTTTATGACTAAGTATATCTTTTTGCCGCAAATATAATGTTGCATCTGCCTATTTAATAGCATACGAGTTTGATTTAATCAGATGTAGATTGATATGTATGCGTGTCTCTGTTGCTATATTTATTTAGTTCTGCCCTCTGGTTGGTTGCCGAGAAACCCAGGAAAATAGGGTTTAAGAATCTTATGCTTGGTTCGTTTGAATTGAAAAGCTAGCCTTAACTGAAAGAAAAGTTGTATATATCTCGGTTGAGTAAATGTGATTCTTTCCTCGCCTCCCAAGTAATGATAAACATGTAATATGCAAAATTTTACTTTTTCTTTTTTGCAGTTCTGACAATTTTTGTGGAAACTAAATGGAAATAAATTCTTCGTGTGATTGTAATAAACGACTAGTCAAAAAATTTCACTCTGTTTTGCAGGTGTGAGTGTGTTGTTCTAGAATCTTGAGTATTATGAACTAATTATTTATTAAAAGCAATAGAACCCTGTTTTTTTTTTTTTTTTTTTTAAAGGAAGAAGTGCATGACTGAATATTCTTGTCAGAATAATGATTTTAAGGCCGAAGAGCTTGAACGAAATGGAGAGCCAAAGGTTTCCCATCCGTTAGATACACTCAACTAGGAGTGATGTGAGACCTCGTTGAGTGTATCCATTGAATGGGGAGTTTCGGCTCCCCATTTCGTATAAACTCTTCAACCTTAATATCATTACGCTTCTTGTTACCCTCTAATGGAATTTTTTGACTGATTACTTGCTTACACATTTTTTATGTGCAGTTATGATGCAGTGAAAGACAATTCTGAGAATTCATTTGTACCTTCTAACATTCCAGATAACTGTACCCCTATCCATTTAAATCTTCTGGTAATCCTCGTATGCAAACCTCAAATTGCTAGTGCAAATGTTTGCTTGGTCATTTATTTTCACTCCTGTGTACTTAAGTTAAGCAAACACTAGTTATAAGTTCCACAATTTTAAATTAAATGAAATATTTTATTTATTAATAGAAAATTGAATATTATCATTACCACTGCAGTCTCTATACTTGGTATCTTTTTGGGGCAATATAAGTAATGCCTTTTTAACTTCTGATTGGACTGATTTTATAGTTAAATTTCCATGTTTTTGTCTATTCATTATGAGGGAATCAAATTTTGTTGGATATCACTGAGTTAGTGGGAGATGATTGATTATTCAACCACCGAGGGCCTTGTGGCCTAGTGGTATCTCCTCTACCTCCCAAAGTGGATGGTGAGGGTTCGAGTCCCCAAATGGGCAACGTGGGTTTGTGTGCTTATTGCCAATGAAAAAAAAAATTTGTAGGAGTACATGGAACCATTGCCAGGAGCCTGTCTTATATTGCTGCATCAAAATCTGCACATTTTTTATGGTTTGGAATATTTTTGTATTGCTGCTATGTTCGCAATTGGCCCTGGGAAGTGGATATGAGGAATTGAACCATTGCCCAAGGCTCTAATAGGTATGTTTGAAACAACAAGAAAAAGCTAAAATAAACATATGGAGACTAGTTATGAAAATATAATAAATTATAAAATAAAAAATAAAAATTTTGCCAGCTAAGTCCAATTGACCTAACATGATACTTTTTTCTGCTTATTCAGTTAATGAGATTATTTATTCAAAATCTGTGCCCATGTCTTGGTAAAACTCACATCAATTATTCACATAAACACATTCATAAAAAAATGAAAATAAGCATACCGCAACATATAACATAGTTGGGGGGATACACAATGATAGGTTTACATGTTCTGTAGTAGGCCGTACTTGTGAGATCGTAGAGTGCATACATATATACTGGGTGATTTTGTTATTCAAGGAGAAGATATTCCATGTAGATTCAGTTCAATAGAAAATGAATAAGCACAAAGAGAGAATGTGCATAAATTAAGAAAAGCACAAAAGAGAATGCTAAAGAGTTGCATTTTGGCTTCTATACTCTCTCTCTAAGTGTCTTTTTTGAAATACATAAATAAATAAATAAAGCTGCAGTTATGTCTCCTAAAGAACTGCAGTTATGTCTCCTAAAGAAATCACAAGGAAAAAACCTCCAGGAAAACTAAGGCAGCATAATACCCCCAAATTCATCTGTAATATTAGAATCTTCCTTAGACCTGAACATACATATTTCTTTCTGGTACTGTCTTGATATGACAATTTTTGGCTGTGTTGGAACTTGAGATCTGCTACCACTTCAACCACATTTTTCGTTCAATGTGTTAGTTGCTATGCTAATGTCATATTAATAGTTGGCATTTTTAATGATATTTGGATGCAGCTTTACTAGAAAAGCTGAAAGCTTTTGTGCCATGTGTTACCATGCAATTTGCTGTAGAGTTTTATTGCTTTCTTATTTTTTATTGGGACTTCAAAAATTTTCCATTTAAGCTTTTTGTTATTTATACTGAGTCCAACCTATAATGCTATTTTATTTTAAGTTGTCTGATGCAAGATTTTGTCTTTACAGGCAAGGCATGGAACTCGAGCGCCTACCAAGAAAAAAATGAGAGAATTAAACAATTTGGCCGCTCGCTTGGAAGTACTTCTACAAGATGCAGAAGAACAAAAGTTGTCTTTGCAGAAAATTCCTGCTGGGTTACGGGGATGGAAATCTCCATGGAAAGGGAAGTTCAAGGGTGGAGAATTGATTAGCAAAGGAGAAGATGAACTGTATAATCTTGGGATCAGAATCAGAAAAAGATTTCCAGAACTGTTTGGTGAGGATTACCACCCGGATGTATATCCAATAAAGACAACACAGGTTGGCGATGTTTTAGTTTTTCTCTCACTTACTTATGCAAAGGACCTTCCACGAGATGTTACTCTAGTAATCATACAGTGAGACATGTATAAAGTTTGGTTCAGAGATTATTATTTTCTTTTCTTTTTTATTATCATTTTAGAGATATATTTTGTTAACATCGAGCTTCCTATAAAAATTGATCATCATAATGTCTTCCATTCAAAGTTCCTCACAGGACTGAAGGCTGTTTAAATCACAATGAATCTGATATTCTTTCTTGGTTCACTTACTCTTATGCTTTTTGTTTCTTTTCTTTATTGATATAGATTCCTCGGGCATCTGCTAGTGCCGTAGCATTTGGCATGGGGCTATTTAGTGGTAGAGGAAATCTTGGACCAGGACGTCATCGAGCTTTTGCAGTTACCAGTGAAAGTCGTGCAAGTGATCTAAAGCTGAGATTCCATGATTGTTGTCAAAACTACAAGGTACATGTGGAGAACTCTCTCTTGGCATTTCCCACACTGTCACATACACCACACTTACATGCATTGACTATATTTGCTCTTACACTCTATGCAGTGGAAGTTTTATCTACCCTTTAAAAGTTTAATAGATAAATCACCAATTAGATTGTTGTTTTTTTGGCCTCTTTGAAGGCTTGAGGCATTTTTGGCCTTGTGTTTGTCCATGGGATCCGCTCCCCTTTTGAGCGTTTTTTAATAAATTTTACTTATAAAAAAAAAAATAATAATAATAATAATAGATAAATCACCAATTTTAATACAAATACTTCAAACTCTAGTAAATCAAGATAACTGTAAGGGCTACGAGGACAAGCTTGGAAGTAAGAGTGTCAATAAATGGCAGACTTGAGTTTTCATATTCAATATTGTTTAAAGGTAAAACTCACGAGTTGCAGCTGTATTAAAGAAGTGGGTGATATGGCCATGATTTTAATTTCAAACCCACTAAACTCTCAAAAACTTGCATAATTTTCTATTATTTTTATTTATTTTTTAAATCATGGGTTTAAGCTTCATTTTGTTTTGTAACCATTGATATTATATATATCTTGGTTTTACATCAATTTTTGGTGTGGTATAATGATAATTTTTTGAATTCTCTGCTTATAATTGTCATCATAAATCTCATTAAAGCTATTTATAGACAAATACATATTGTTATCTGATCTTGTGCCATTTTATATTCATCATCACCATATTAAATGGCTTGAGGGGACTAAAATAATAGAAAAAATTCTAGTCAAATTTAGAATCACAGGTTACAAAGTTCTTTCCTCTCTCTCTCTCTCTCTCTCTCTGTGGGTGTGTGAAATATCTATAACTTAGAATCACATTATATATGGGAGATTTCTACTACAATGATATAATGTTAGTGTCCAAACATTACTTTGAAAAACAAATCGTTTTGGTATGTGGAATGGTGGAAAGGGAATCTAATCTAACATTAAATATCTGGTCTACCTTAGTCTTGGTGGCTTTGGGTCTCAACTCGCAAGCCCTAGGTCAAGGTTCCGAGACTGATCAAGAGAAAGAAAAAAAGAATCTAATATGAAATTTCCTAAATTGTGGTACCATAGGATAGGCCTTGATTGAGCACATAATTGGATGTTCTATTCATGATAAAATCAATGAAAATAGTCCATTCATTGTTAAAATATATATATCAGACTTGCTCATGTAGAAGCATTAGACCATGTGTATATATGCACGTCAAGTGATGTGCGTGGCATTTCCTTTTCTTACTCAAAAATTTTATTTTATCATGTCTATCTATTATACTCAATACTCAATGTTTTGGCTTATAATGGAAAAGTATGACAAGATATAAGAAGAAATCTTTTGGCTTGCAAATTTTGGTACTCTAGAATGAAAGTTTATGTGTTTTTGTGATTTTAAGGATGGTTGTACTAGTTGCAGTAATTTTGACAAAGATTACTTCTTATCTAAGAACCAATATGTGTACTATTTACTTGTAATGAACACTTCTATCTCAAGCATTATATTTGCAACATGCCAACTCAAAAAATATTAGTACCACTTCTTTATGTTTACTCCTGATAAGCAACCCATAGCTCATATGCTCTTCAGCATTGGAGCTTGAATATCAAGACATCAACTCCACATTAATTTGGTAAGATAGTAGTGGCAACACTTGTGTAGCAGCTTACTAGGTGGTGTTACTTATTTTAACCCAAATTGTGGAATATTTGTGATTAAGAGACATATGCTAAGTGCTTTATGTAGAAGTAATTCCACTTGAGAATCATTTAGGGAACTAATTACTATCTGCCTCATCAGTAAATAGAATTTTACGAGTTTGTTCAAGTTAGGAAGAAACTAACAAAAGTATAAGGACCTTCAAATTCTGCAAGGAACTTGGTAAACACCAAGTTGCTTTAATATTGGCTTCTGTGCCATTACATTTTTCTATCAGATTTCAAGGTTCTCTCAAGAATACTCTGTACTTTTTGCTTATATGGACTTGTGGTGGTTGCAGAGTCTAAACTTTGCATTTTTATAGAAGCTTGCAACTCTCATCATATGTAGAAATTTTGTATACTAGCCATCTTTGTCTAGTTTCACCTATGACTTTAGTTTCATGCATGTGAAGTATACTTAAGCAGCTATTCAAGATCTAAATTTTGCTTAAGCATTCTTTTTGGTTACCATCTAGTTGCAAGTTGCAAAGCAGTTATTGTCTTTATAACTTGAATTGTGGATGCAGAATTTTAGGAAAAGTCAAGAGCCTGCTGTTGATAAGCTCAAGGAACCTACATTGGATGAAATTACTCGTGCATTAGTGAGGCGTTATGAGCTGAATTTCACAAGGGAGGATATTTCTTCTCTCTGGTATCTGTGCAAGCTGGTGATTACTTATCTGTCTTTGACTCTTCATACTCTGATGAATGCTAAATTAATAGTTATTTTAACTGATTGGATTGAGATTGTCTTGATGTAATAATACATTTGGATTTTCATTTTGTCAGGAAGCATCGTTGTTGAACATAACTGATCAAGCTTGTACTTTATTTACTCCTTCTGAGGTAAGCAGGTTTTGTGCTTATTTTACTTAAACAAGTCATTCTATTATCCTCAAGTTCTTCATCCTTAGTATGTGTCGGACATTTTTTCTCCTTTGTGACTATTAAGTTGCAAGTTGTTTACATGTCTAATATAATGCTAGCATAATGAAATATCGATGTTCCTTCTTCTTCTTTTTTCCCTTTGTGCGCTATATGCTTATTACCTGCTAATTTTGTGCATCTAGGTTGCTTTGCTGGAGTGGATGGATGATTTGGAGTTGTTCATATTGAAGGGTTATGGTAATTCATTAAACTACCGAATGGGAGTACCTTTACTTGAAGACGTAGTTCAGTCCATGGAGGAAGCAATTAAGTATAAAGAAGGTAATATAACCCCTATGACTAGTGCATTTATAGTTTTATTATCTGCATCCTTGTGTGCCACTATTCTCCATTCACACTATGTCAGAACCTTTTCCGGATGGAGCTTTGAAATCTTCTAAAGTGAATTCGTACGAGGAACATGATTGATTGATGGATCTATCTGCTTTCCTTTTAGTGTTCTTTTGGTAGCGCAGAGTTGAAAGTTCTAGGTGGTTGGCATGGACCTTAACCAATACCGGTAGGGTTTAGCCTGACCTGGGAGCCAATGATATGATCATACTTTCAACTTATGTGATGTCACTCCAGGATATTGAACATTTGGTGGTGTGAAGTTTTCTTACAAGGGCATTAATTTTTTGCATCTTACAAATTACTATGCTGTTGGTCTTCCCCCACCCCAACCAAACACACCCCCTCTTTTGGTGGTTCTTTTTATTTGTATTTGCTATTAATCCATAACCTATGTTTTTTTACCCAGTCAGCAGAAGTTGGTTCTCCTACTATGGCATATTCTTTAAACTTCCTCTGGAATTTAAGTTTTTCTTTAGGACATTAATGCCATCATACTTATTAATACTCTTTTCCTTCTGTTCTGGTAGAAGCACATGCTCCTGGCACTTACGAAAAGGCTAGACTGAGGATTGCCCATGCAGAGACACTTCTTCCATTCTCATGTTTAATTGGACTCTTTCTTGAAGGACCTGGTGAGTGCTCTGCTGGAAAGTTGTCTACAACTTCCCCACCAGAATCTACCCCCAACCTAGAGTAGTTAGGTGGGGAAGTAGAATTAAACAGTTCTTCATACATATGCTTTTTTAGTACAAAATGAGCTGCTGCTTTAATTAGGTCTGTTGCTGAATCTTTCAGAGTTTGAAAAAATACAAAGAGAAGAACCCTTGGAACTCCCTCCAAAGCCACCTCAGAAAAGAAATTGGAGGGGCAGCACGGTGACGCCTTTTGCTGGGAATAACATGCTGGTTCTATACAGCTGTCCTGCTAACAATTCAAGCAAATACTTTGTGCATGTACTGCACAATGAACATCCCATCCCGATGGCAGTAAGATTTCAATGTTTTATACCTCAAGATGTGATTTATTTTCTTATTTAAAATTTGTGCTAATTAGATTATTCTTTACTACTGCTAGATTTTTTTTATCTTTAACTTCGTTTTGACACCGAATTTTATCTGAGGAGCACACGTCCAATGGATTATAAATTGGTTTCAATTTTGACTGATCCTAATTTGTTTAAACAGAAAAGTATAAATTACACATGTTCACATTTCCTGTTTCTTAGAGTTGTACCCTTCTACTGGTGTAATCTTACATATAGTTTCCATAGTTTTACTATTGTGAACTAGTCATAGGTTCTATGATTAATCCATCATGATATTGCAAAACTTGCCCAGTGCCTTGCAAGGAAATTTTTTTTTTTTTTTTTTTTTGTGGCATATATTTCCTAACTGTGACCGTCTTATGCTTTTGTGGATAGGGTTGTGATAATTCTGATTTCTGTCCATTTGAAGTTTTCAAGGTAGGTTTGGTTTAATCCCAAATCCAAATTTTATTTATGGAGATGATGGCTTCTCTCTTATTGAGAACTTTTCTTGCTTTCTTCAGGAAAGAATAGTGGCTCCTCATTTAAAGCACAACTACAATGTGCTCTGTGATGTGAAGTTGGAACAACCTGAACACAAGCCTGTAACCAGCAAGTTATCACAAATATTTAGCTGGCTCTTCTCGAGGGATTGTAATCCACCGTCCCAAAAAGTTGAGTTATAGTTTCTGTTTCAAAGAATCAAGGGAGTAATTCTTAAAAAAAATTCTCCCTTGTCAACGACGATGCTTTCTTAGCTTGAGTTTCAGCCACAGGCCAGCACTTTTAGAAATTCCTGGGCATGTGAGGATGGGTACGCAGATCATTTAAATGCTTTTTCTTGTATGTTACTATGTATGTAGATGACAGTTTACATGTCTCTGTTTCTGTTTTACCCAATTTAACTGCCTCTTGATTTGACATGTTCATAGAGAAACTTGTTGCCGAATTTGAAGTAACGGAAAGTAGAATATAAAAATCTGCTGCAATGTGCTGTTGTCTGTTGATACTTTTGTACAACCAGCTAAAGTGCAGCTTCTGATAGACTACTTGATAGTTTTATTGATCGTTAGCAAGTTCTTTTCAATTAAAAAATGACTAGTCTTGAGAATACAAAGAATATTTTGTGAGCACTGCTACATACTATTCAAATTCAAGCAACATACATATCAAAACTCCGAATTTAGAATGTGAGAGGGCTATCAGCCTATCACAAAAAGAATTGCAGTTCATTTATAATTGGACAGTACCAATGTAAAGAAATATGGATCACAATTTAATTGATTAATTTACATAAAATAAACAGTATTTGACATTTCCAGATTTCCTTGTCAAGTTGTACATGGTCTCAATAGCAGGTGCATACCAACAATGAACTCCGAAATTTGCAGAACTATAGTACTATTTTGAATGCTCTCTCTCTCTCTCTCTCTCTCTCTCTCTCTCTCTCTATATATATATATATATATATACACACACACATATCCATCTATCTACTTATCTATCTATCTATCTGAATGTGTATTTTATGTGTGTATGCATATTACTAACTGTATTCACAAATCGGAAGTAGGAGATATATGCTGCATGCACAAGCTAGACTATGAACTCAAAGACAGACCATCAGGGCTTCATAAATTGGTATGGTGGTGGAATCATTTTTCTTCCTTGGCAACCTGCAAAAGAGTTTGCAGAAAAACAATGACAAGTTGTTTAACCATTAATACAATTAAGTGCATTGAATTGTAGACGATTATTTGATGGAACTTTAGGACGACACATGGATAAGTGTTCCATTCTGTGCTGTAGAATTGAGATTTAACAATAGTGTTCTTATTAATTTGAATATGATAATAGGATATATATATATATATATATATAGAATTTAGTCACGTGACTAAATCAATACAAGTCAACAAGGGATGGATCTAATGCCATGGGAGAAAAAAGGGAAAATTTCTACATTAAACAAACAAAGACAAGAAAACTGAATTGGATGATTGTAATTATCATCTATAGGCTGGTATTTTAAAGTAGCTTTGGCCTAGTATTGTTCTGTTAAAATGGATTAGTTGTTGAGAATGGAATCATCAAATATTAGAAGGAATAGGTAGATCAGAAAGAAGTACTTATCAAAAAAAGACAATATCCTAGTTCACCCACCTTCATGGCCCCTAAATTCGAGCTCGCGCCACTCTTGGACCATTGCACAACAGCAACACATGAGATGTGTTAAGAAGTCATCACATGAACCTCCCTGCAAAACAGAGAACCCAAATTGCATTAAACTTCCATGATAATTATATTAACTAACTCTAATCTCTGATTTCTCGACAAAGCAAAAAGCCATTACTAACAGGAAACCATTTGCCTAGATTTCATTTAGTTCGACATATCTCTCTCCTTTTTTTTCTTTTTCTTTTTTTCTCTGTTTTGGTCCAGAAAAACCTACATACTTCTTCCTCTTTCTTCAAATAACAATATATTTTCCCCAAATGAAAAATAATTCAGTAATCAAATGGTTATGTTGTATGGTTCTTTACACAGATGTTCCCCGTGTAGTCTGTAGATATCAAGACCACCATGCGTGACGAAATTTCTTTCATGTCTTTCATCTAACAGAATTGCAATTGCCATAATAAAACAGAAGTGCCTAGACTGTCCTGATGTGAGGTGAATAAATTGCCCGAACAAATCCTAAACTATTTTGTTTGTTCATTAAGAAGCATCAACCAGAACAATTCTTCGAGCAAGTGATAAACATTTCCTGTCATGCATGTGAAAGGAAATAAATGGCCCAGCAACTATTACAGGAGTTTTATTGGAAAACAGTATTATTTTCCATGAAAAATGTGGCTTGACAAGTGTTTACTACAGAAAATTTAAAATGTTTTGTGCCGAAGGAAATGTGATATTCCTACACCTATACCTTGAGCTATTCTATATTTTGAAAGACGGTACCTCTATGCTATAAAGTTTTCTCAGTTTGCCCCTCATGCAACAAGTGTAACAGAAACAACCACAGAGTAGGGAGTAAGCCATCAGATCGTTGCAAGCACGTTCACGAGCTGCAGTTCCAAACAATGTAGTATGAGTAGTTAGAATTATAAATCCTCCCTCCAAACAATAATCTTCCTGTGACTGTTAGTATATACGGCAATAGACTACAGAAACAACCCTGAAAACAGGACAAGAGATTATTAACTTAATATTCCAGTAGTAACACCATATTTGTACAGAGAATATCATTGAACCTGAGCAGATATTATTTGACCATTCCATTTTCTAATCTTCCCCTCAAACCGGGCTGGGCGACAGGCATGGGAGGAAGAAACCTAAGAGAAGCAGCTCTTATCTGAGTTCCACACCAGCACAGCACAGAAAAGTGCCCCCTGTTTGTCATCCCTGCAGCTTTCCAGAGTTTACATTGAGTGTGTGGCCTAATTAGGACCTTCAAATCCTATTTGAGCCTATACTTTCTGTATTCTTAATTTTCTTTGCATTAATGGCCATTAAAACCTCCTTTCCAACCATTTGATGAACAAGGAACCCTCTCTTATTTGGGCACTGAAAGGCTAACATCGAACACCGTCTTCCCAAATTTGCATTGATCTAAACAAGTTCTACTAGGGACAATATAACCAGGAGGACGAACCATTATCAGATCTACTATTTTCTAGAGTACGTGTTCAACTTGCTGTTCATCTCTTCAGTTAGCATGTTAGTTTTGAGTATTGACTACTGCATTTTAGTGTTGGAGCTTACTTATTTCTCCTTTTGATACCACATGAGCAATCCATGTAAATGTTCCACAGGGATAGATGCATGTCTTTAAACCTACAACAGAAGATAACCAGATTGGAATTGAACATCTATAAAAATATATATACTGTAAATACTTCTAACCTACAGAAGAACACAGGAATAGAGTTTTGAAACCCTGGTTAGCGTGCCTTCTATTAAAACACAATTAGGATAGAAATACAATTATAAGTTCAATGAACATAAGTTAATTACCAAAAAAAAAAAAAAAAAAAAGATCAATGAAAATAAGTTAACAATGCAGTTTATGAAATGAAGCAGTAAACATCATAGAAAGCAAATAATTATGGTCGTATATTTTAGTTGGACTGAGACACACCTTTCTCTTTGATCATTAAATAATATGAGCAATTTGTCGAGATTATGACATTGTTCGAAAATAACATACGTTGTACTCACTTTAATTAACATGAAATGACAATGTCTAAATCAGCATAAATAAAAATAGTAGCGCAAAGCAGAACAACATAATAGAAGACAGAACAGAAACGACTTAGTCCAAAATAAAGTGGGGATTAGCCCACTGTCCTGTAAAGTGGTTTCATACTTTCATCCCCATTAAAATGGATTCTTAAGAGTAGATGGCTCTCGACAGCCATTCTCCAGGATTCAGTATCAGTTTTATGGTATAGATGATGCCAATTTTGTGTCGCATACACTCATGAGTAGGACTTCAAATTCACAGATGGATTGCACAGCACCAAAACCAGCAAAGAACAATATACTAAACAGAATTAGGGAGAGAGGTGGGAGAAGTATGTATGATTATGGCTGTCAGTCTTCTACAGAGCTAGTTTATTTATATTGTTGCAGAAGAGCAATAAAAGGCAATTGAGGGTGTGAATGGTGCAAACGGTGCAATCTTCCTAGTTGGCTGGAGATGGAATTGGTGGCGACAATTAATGGACATTCATAGAAGATATTGTAGATTGTATAATTAGGAATATATTAAAATTAGGAAACTTGACTTTCAGTTTGTTAATATTTGTTAGTAATGGACAAGAAGCATAGTATATTGCAAGACCTATCTTCTGCCTTAGTTAAAAAATGCCACAAATTATTAGGTGCAAGTTTTAGTGGGACAAGGTTCATGCAAGATATATATGACAATTGAGAAAGAAGAAAATGATGAACAAAAATTGCAGCATCCCAACACTTTCTGATGTATTCATACTCTTTCGGGATCTTACTTAAGCAAGGTTCACTGCAACAGTCGAAGAGATCAGTCTGCCACTCAGATTCAACCTGATATTCAGTTCGCAAGCCACAGGCCCCATGGTTGGATTTCGTATCCGTTCCATACCTGCAATGAAAAACCATTTAATACACTCAGGTACTCCCAAAATTGGCTCTTAGTTCTGTATGATCGACGCTTACTGAGATCCTGTATGAGTCTCTGCAACGAGGGAAACATTCTTTTCTGGTGGTACATTAACAACATCTTGTGTAACCTCAATGAGATGCTCAATCACACGGCATTGCTTCGTATCATTATTCACTTGTAATTTCTGTAACTCAGCATGCAGCTTCCCTTTCTCCTCTTGGAGAGCCTCGTGAAATTCCAATTCAGGATATCGTCGAGACAGTGACTTCTCCAATATATCAGCATCTTTCGTGGTACGATCCCTTTTCAGTATCACACTCTGGGCTTCCATATCCTCCTCATCAAGGGTGTATTCTCGATGATCCTCTTCAATGGCTTGCAAGCTGTCCCTCAAATTCTGAAGTCATCATTACAAGACTGCCTGATTACTACCAATCTTTCACTTTTAAAGTATTTTGAAGCCACACATGATATTAGAAATAAGTGGTTTGCACAGAGACTAAACATGAAAATTTAAGGCATGCTGCTGTTGATGTTTCATTATCAATATGTATTGTCAAAGCAAGGGCTGCAGATTATCAAATGTATATATATCATCAATAAAACGCTAGCCAAACTTGTATGGCCACACCCCTTCATAAACGAGGCCCAAAAACCAATTCTAAACCTATACTCCCACCATGTGTGGCTTAAATTTTTTAGCTATTGCACTACACCTGTGACTTAGGAAATGAATTGAGTTGATGAGCTTGAGTTTGTTCGGGTTTGGCTCCTTCATTTATGAGCTCAGCTCAGAAACTTGACGAGCTTGGGCTCGAGCTCAGCTCATTTAATAACAAAAATCATTTCGGCTCCATTTGAATTTTTTTTTCAAGATCACATTGGCTCCTTCATAAACTTATTTGAGTCTACACAAGTCTGCGCTTCCCTAAGCTTATGTTCGCGAATATATACAAATCTACATAAATTCATGTTTACAAGCCGAGACGAGCCTAATACCATGCAACGAGCCTAAAACACAAGCTCAAGCTCAAGCTCAAGCTCAACTGGTTTGGTTATATAATGAGCACCAGCCCAGCTTTAAGCCAGTCAAACCGCTTGCAGCCTTAGCAGTTAGGCTTTCGGTTCACAGTAGTCACTTTGTAGTTTAAATTACTAAAGTGGCCCTCGCGGGAAAAAAAAAATGACACATGTCACACTGCTCAAGTCTCAACCGACAATGATTCCACAGAACATACCTGTAGACGATACTCGTGGACCAGCGAAATCAACGGAACGAGCTTCAGATAGCGATCGATCTCGTTCTGCACCCGACGGAACTGATACACTACGCTCCACCCCATCGCAAGCATGTACAGATAGCTTCTCTCTCTGCAACTCTCCACCAGATCAAGCGCCTTCCTCAGCGCCACCTCCAGCCCATCTAACGGCTCTCCCGTCGCCGGATAACTCATCAGCTCCGTCGACGATTTCAGCTTCTCCACCAAGTTCCCGATCATCCTCACGTGGTCTGCCAGGTGCTCGCAGTTCGTCCGGTGCGTGGTGGCGTTTCTCGCCGCCGTTACGATCAGGTTGATCAGACTGATGGCGTCCACTCCGACTACCTGTGCAACACTCGCCATTGGTCCACCGGTGTACTAGAATGAAATCCTCTTTAATTAATACAGTAGATTTAGAGAGCGATGCAAAATTAATGCATCATATTTGATGTTTGGGTAGGAACGGAAAAGGTGCATTAATTAAAGGAAGTGATTTTGTGTCTGCTTTTGACGTTTTTCTCTAGACTTTTGCGCTTCGTCCCCATTGCTTTTGAGGAGAGAGTCGGAGAAGTGGACCAAAGTGGTGTGTGTGACTGTGTCCAATTAAATAAGGTAAGTATTCGGTGTGCCGGATGTACCTGCATTCGGTACATCAGAATCTCTCCCATGAGATGATAATATGACACCTACAACGACCAAGACGCAGTTGGAGGTTAGTCACGCGGCCAAAGTGGTCCGGCTCTAAGGCGATTTGGGAGTGATTTCGCACCAAATTAGTTAATTCAATTTTTACCATTCGTAAATTTGTTTTCTTAATTCTCTATTGTCATATAAATTTAGTGATATAAAACACCTATATTATCATATAGATATTTATTAATTATATTATTACTAATATATAAATTAATTACTTAAAATGCACATATACCCCAACTGTATGGCATTACTATATTATCACACACATATATATAATACATGTTTGAAAATATACCACTAAGAAACTTCCCAATTAAAAAATATTACAAATTAACTATACATCTATTAGTTAGAAAAGTTAGTTTATTTATTATTATTATTATTATTATTATTATATATCATTAATGAAATAAATAATAATGAATATATTTACATATGAATTAAAATAAATAAAAATATATATAAAATATATATATCATTTATTTAAATTTAATACACAGACACTTCCACTTTCAAAAAATTTAGGCTTTACGCTTTTACGCTCTTACTTTCGTTCCGCTCTCACACTCGCTCTCATTCTAAGTAACTTAGATTGGAGTACTTTAAAATATTTATTCATCTAATAATATATCTGATTGTTATTACTGTGCTTATTAAACAATGGCCAAGTTACACACTGACACGGGTGGCGTGAGTAAATGTTCTGATTTTAATTATAAAAAAAAAGTAGGACAAAATTATTATTTTATAAAATTTGATCATGTTGAAAAGATAACTGATGTAGTTGTCCGCAAGCATAAAATCTCGTCAAAATAAATTACTAGAAAATAATAAATGCGGAATAATCTATTAGTATATAATTTGTTCAAATCTTAAGAAAGTTAAAAGTAATTTATTATAAAATAACACATCATTATTTTTGTTGAACTAAGTTAGATTAGGGACGGCCGGGAATTTGCTAACCCAAGCCCGCCCAGGCCAGAGCCCACAAGCTTTAACTTTTCAGCGGGCAGGCCTAATTTTAAGAAGCCCAAGCATTGCCCTTGGCTTGGAATGGCAACCTAGGGTTTTTTTTTTTTTTTTTAAATGAATTTGAAGCTTAATGTCACGGGCCTAGAGATTTGGCGCAGCGGCACGGCCCGTGCGGCACCAAGGCGTTGCTTCGGCTCGCGCAAGCGCCCTGGTCAGCCACCATGACCTGCCCTCCCAAGGATACATGCTGACTGGTTTCGGCCTGCCATGGCCTCGTCAGGGGAACGGCTCCAGCTCCCGACCAGTTTGTGCAGGGATGGCCAACTCCCTTCTTCATAGTCAAGTCCACGACCAGCGACAAGCACCTCGAACTGAACCGAGTCGACCTGCCTGAACTCTGAAGAGGTACCATCCTGTGCTCCTGCACGCCCCTTCCCTGGAACCATTCCCAGTCAAACTCTGCTCTTTGCCAACCAGCATGCGTGTTTTCCATCCTCCAAGCGTCTTAGGAATCACTTCGTGACATTCTCCCCCACCCAAATCCTGCGACGTCCTCGTCGCAGTGCGGCGCTTCACTACTGCGTCCACTCCCTTCCAAAGTCTGCCTCCATGCGGTATGCTCGCCTTCCCACCATCGCTTCCTTGTGCAGCTCCCTGCACTGCACTCGCCCAATGATAGGCCTCGGACCAAGGGGACGTCCACTCCTCAAGGACGTGACTCTTCTCCGTCATGCCGCCTCCGCGACATCCCGAGCAAGCAATGGCCTTCTGCCGACTTGATGCTCGCCCTTCACCATGGTTTGCATCACCCAAGGACTAAGCACGAACTTTGGTGCGCGCGGCCCTCCGGCCCTTCAATGCGCAACTTCAACGGACGCCTCTTCCTGGGGAGATGGAGGCTCTCCCCCCCCAACTGCATTGATTCCTCCACATCGACGCAACTTCAATGCACCGTCTTCATTCTCTGACCCCTCCCGGACCGACAAGGGGGGCACCCCACCGTGCTTTACCCCAAGTCCTGCTCTGATACCATTTGTCACGGGCCTAGAGATTTGGCGCAGCGGCACGGCCCGTGCGGCACCAAGGCGTTGCTTCGGCTCGCGCAAGCGCCCTGGTTAGCCACCATGACCTGCCCTCCCAAGGAAACATGCTGACTGGTTTCGGCCTGCCATGGCCTCGTCAGGGGAACGGCTCCAGCTCCCGACCAGTTTGTGCAGGGATGGCCAACTCCCTTCTTCATAGTCAAGTCCACGACCAGCGACAAGCACCTCGAACTGAACCGAGTCAACCTGCCTGAACTCTGAAGAGGTACCATCCTGTGCTCCTGCACGCCCCTTCCCTGGAACCATTCCCAGTCAAACTCTGCTCTTTGCCAACCAGCATGCGTGTCTTTCATCCTCCAAGCGTCTTAGGAATCACTTCGTGACATTAAGCTAATTAAGTTATGGGAAACCAGTAGCTAAGTTTGAAAATTTCTCCTATGGATAGTTCTCTTTCAGCAAAATAAGTTCTCCTTTGATGATATTGAGTGTTCTAATTCTGATAGAGACAAAAATAAATACGAGTGCATGTGTTTATGAACTTTCGAATTGCAAAAATTAAACAAAAATAATAATTTTTAAAAGGACCAATGGGCAGCTGAACACAAGTCACCCTTTGATTGATTTAAGAATGAATCATTTGACTACCAAAAAATACCGTATGATTATTAGAATTTATTTGGTTCTAGTTTACCCTTAATATTTATTTAAAGATTTAAATCTGAATAGGATTGTATGAATGTTATTAATATTTTACCTTTATAATTTAAATAGAGTCTGAATTAAAATAAATTTTATTTGATTTGGATCAGGTTGTGAAAAAAATATATATATATCCTTTATCCATTTCAAAATTAACCATGATTTACCGTAAGAAATATTTCAACAATAATTCATATTTGATCCATTATGAACTCGAATTGAGAATTAAAACTAAAATTTGTTAAAATAAACTTCATATAAAACTAAAATTAAACCCCCTTCTTTTCAAAGTTGTGTCGGTGACAAGTGACAACAAATAAAGCTACAAATATCTTACGAAGTCCACTAATTCTTTCTTGTACACACAAGTGAACCCAACTCAAAACAGTGATCACTTGATCACTTGTCGGTCATCCCACTCTTTCATTGATTACTCATTATTATAACAACTTATTGGGCTCTCTATGCACCTAATGTTTTCAGGTATAACGAATTTAATGTTTTCAGGTATAAAGAATTAAATTGAATATTAGTGTGAATAGATCGGTGTATAATAATATCGAATTCTTAAAAAATAATTATGAATCAAGTGATACGTCGCGTATCAATTGATACAGCGAACTACGAATGTGTTTATTTTTTAAATACTTTCTTGATACCATTTTTTTTTTATTTTTTTTATTTATGATTCTTTTCAAATGTATGTTCTAGTTTTTAAAAATATTTTAAAACATTTTCAACAATAATTTTCTTTAAAAATTCTGGAATCCAAAGACTAATCAAATCGTTTCCTCCTTAATGACACATTCTACCTTAATTATAAATAAATATAGAGTAGGTTGGTATGTCGACTAAAAAAAATAAATGCATCATTCAATAAAATTGTTCACATCTACATATAAAAACGGCTCTCAACAAATTAGAGTAATGTATTTTTATTTGGTAGACATACCAACAATGATTTTAGTATACCCAACTCACCCAATATTTTGTTTGGTATTTACCCTTCTTTTCCTGTTCATTACTCATAGAAAAACTTTGTATATTTTATATTGACTTTTGCCGCCCATTAATCTTTCTAGCTTAGTAAAAATTCTCCTTCATCTTAAAAATATTTTTTTAAAAAAATTCTACTAAGGATTTTTAAAAATTAAAAATTTTTGAAGAGAGAGATTCTTCATTTAATTCTGTTTATTGAAATATTTTAAAAATATTTAAAAACACTCATTTTCTTAGAAGCCAACAAAATTATTATTATTATTATATATAATTTTGTATATGTTATTATTATTATTTTAAAATTAAAATAGTGTATTTTTATTTAGTAGACATACCAATAACTTGGTACAACAGACTCACCCAATATTTTGCTTAGTGTTTACCCTTCTTCTTGTGTTCATTACTCATAGAAAAAAAATTTCTTTCATTTTAAAAATATTTAAAAACATTTTCTACTAATGATTTTTAAAAATAAAAAAATTTTGAATAGAGAGATTTTTCATTTAATTTCGTTTATCAAAATGTTTTTAACATAATCAACAAGTCAGTGATCTAATGGTACCAGATCTTTTACTTTTTTAATATTAAGAGTTTAAGTTTCAATAGAGAAATGTATGAGAGTACCAACTAAAAAAAATTAAAAATATTTTAAAACACTCATTTTCTTGAAAGGAATCAAAATTATTATTATTATTATTTTTATACAGTTAATTTATTTATGCACCAAAAATATATTCGGAGTACTAAGTTACCAGTTGGGATCGGCAGGCGCGGTTTAATGACGCGCGTTTAGAGAGAGATAGAGAGAGACACACACACAGAGATTGTGATGTCAGACAACGCGCGAAAACATATAGTAATAATTTTGCGGGCCCCAGGTTCTTTCTTCATCCATCGAACTGGTCAAGTTCTCGATCAACATTCAAACGATAATCTTTCTCCTCCTCCTCCTCTTTTCTCTCTCTCTGAAAAAAACACGCACACACTTTCTCTCTAAAAGATTCAAATCAGTCTATTCTTCAACGACACCTTCAATGGCCATGTCAATTCAGAATCTCCTCAAGGAAAGAAAATACCCATTCATTTTCTCTCTCTCCCTCCTACTCATACTCGTCTCCTTCTTTCTCTTCACTACCTCTCACTCCCCTCTCTATTTCACCACCAATCTCTATAATCGATCACAGCCCACGATCTCTTCTCCTCCGCCGTTAGATCATAGCCACCTTCGGATCCCAAACGCTAACACGAACTCACCATCTCAATACGACGACGCAGCATCCAATTTCAGTGTTACATTCAGTGATTTGGACCTGAATTGGAAGACTTGTAAAGGTGGAGTGGCGACTGACTATATACCGTGTTTGGATAACATGAAAGCCATAAAGGAATTGCAGTCGAGGAGGCATATGGAGCACAGAGAACGCCATTGCCCGAACCCGAGTCCGAGATGTTTGGTTCCGCTTCCGCAACGGTATAGGGCTCCGATTCCGTGGCCTAAGAGCAGGGACATGGTGAGATTGATAATAATGCTTTGGTAAGATTTGAGTTCTTGTTTAGGTTTGTTGGATCTAGTTTTAGTTATGTTGACCAAATATCAATTAGGTGGTGTATTGACTGAATTATACTGTGGTAGGTGAGAGTGATATTTGAGTTTGGTAATTAATGAATTATTAGTCATCAAATTAATGTCAACTGTAATTGATGCTATATTTCTAAATGAAAAAGAAGCAAATTTTCTTCTTCTTTTTTTTTTTTTTTTTTTTTTTTTCTGCTCTTTATTTGTTTGTTTCACAGAATTTAATAGCTTCACAACTAGAAACTATTAGATTAAATTTTAGAAGTTAATTTCTTTTTTTTTTAGTAGGTCTACATACCAGAACAATAAATTTTAGAAGTTAATTTTCAGAGAGATTTGGTACATAAGAAATTGTGATTGTGTTTATGGTAGTGGACCATTGATAAATATGATTTTGTTGTGTCAAATTGTTTGCAATTAGTAGTGCTGATTTCGGCACTCCGGGGTTGTTGGAAGTGATAGGGGGTATAAAGATCTAATATTGGAATTATTTGCACAAAGTAGAATTATGACTCATGAGATTGATCTCTTGCTTGAACATCCAATTTTTCTTGTGGATGAAACAATTGTCCTTGTACATTGTGCTTGAAACTGTCAAAGTAAATGCCAATTCAAGTTCATTGAGTCTTTTCCTTTTATTTAGGGTTACTCCTGTTGATACATGCCTAAAAGTTTGATCTTGTCTTGCCCTGAGACAGAACAATGGTTCGCTAGTTGAATTTAAGTGATGCTATCATCAACCCACATTGGCTTGAATTTAAATTTCACAGAGGCCACCATTGAAATTTTCATCATCTAGAGCAACTGAGTGACTTGTTGATGTAGTTTTTTTTTCCTTCTGTCATTCTCTTTTTGTGTGTGTGTGTGATGTAAAAACTAGCCTAACTCTAACTATCTCTGCTTCCTTCCACTTTTTGAAGCAAATTGATTTGTAATCTTTTGGAATTATTGTTCTTTTATGTGAATAGAAGGTCTTTAGTTTAAGGATAATTCTATTTGGTTATTGGCAAAACAGGCTGCCTAGTTTTTTTTTTTTTTTTTTTTTTTAAAAAAAAAAAAAAAAAAAATTCCCCAGTAAGTCACTGGTCAAGGTGCCTAATTTATGTTAAGGAACTTTTACCATATATGTTTTCGTATTTATTTGCAGCCACTTGTCGCAAAATTTTCATTTTTTAATTTCAAATGTCTATTCTCCAGATATGGTTTGACAATGTTCCTCACCCAAAGCTTGTCGAATACAAGAAGGAACAAAATTGGGTGCGTAGCTCTGGTGATTTTCTTGTCTTCCCTGGTGGTGGTACTCAGTTCAAGCATGGAGTTAGTCACTATATTGATTTTATAGAAGAGGTACTGTATAAAGTCATCAACTCAAAACTGACTCCAAAATATATAATAGCTTGCATTCTGTGTCCATATCTCCTCATTCTATATATAATTGCTGCTTGTAAATGCATTTTGTTTGTAATGAAACTAGAATTCTCTTGTGTTTTCTTTATGCAAAATGGCTATAAAGTTGAAGATATACCTGGTTGAAAGAAATAGATTAAGAAATGCTTGCAGACCTCCATTGAAGAAAAGTTTTTCTCCTCCAAGATTTGAAGATATCTGAAAACTTTTGCACTAAAATGTTGAGGCATAGAATTTTCTGGTATTGGAGAGATTGGACCCATAATTTGTGTTTCTCATGTTTGTCATTTATAGTTGTTACCTTGATAGATATGTAACAGAGTTAGGGCTGTAAATGAGCCGAGCCGAGCCGAGTAATGGTGTGCTCGAGCTCAGCTCGGTCAACATGATAGGCTGCTAAAGCTCGGCTCGAGTTCGAGTCGAGCCTAGAAAATTTAGTTCGAACTTGGCCTGGCTCTGTTTGACGAGCTTCGAGCAGCTCGTTTGCTCATTTAAATTTTTTTTTTTTGGCTACTTCGCATCTAAGATCTGTTGTTCTAACAGATCTGGTACAAAAAATCTGTTGTTCTAAGATCTGGAACAAAAAATCTGTTGCTCTAAAATCTGTGTACTTCGCATCGAGCCGAGCAAAATCACATCTAAGATCTGTTTTTGGTACTTCGCATCTAAGATCTGTTGTTCTAACAGATCTGGAACAAAAAATAAAAAAAAAAAAAATTTGCATCTAAGATCTGTTAGAACAACAAAAAATATAAAAAAGTTTGAGAGAGAAATAGATTTGCAGTAATAAATCCCAAAATTTATACTAAAAATCAGTTTGTATATATATATATATATATATATATATATATATACATGTACAAGTTTACATGAGAGACGAGATGGGCATTGTTGGTGTCCCAATGGTGGGTATGTGTTTGATGAGTTTGTTGCTGCTATATTACCTTCAGGAAAACAAAAAAAACAAAAAAAAAAAAAGTTTACGTGAGAGAGAACAGATGGAGGCGCAATAGGCGTGACTTATTCCATCAACCCGAAACCTAAAAAAGTTTATACAGAAAGACAAGAAAGGCCTATTTGCATAATAACCACAAATTCTATATATAATTACAATCTGACCCCAACTTTTGTATATATTATAATTGGGTATGTGTGTGTGTATATATATATTATAATCGAGTATGTTCGTGAACGCATTATCGAACCCAGTTCGTGAACGGTTCATGAACAAACGAGTCGAGCCTACTGATGTTTAAGCTCGGCTCGTTTATAAATCAAGCCTCATAATTCGGCTCGAGCTCGGTTCCCTTATTCAAGAGCCGAGCTCGAGCCGAGTAATTAACGAGCCGAGACCGAGCAGTTTGCGAACGGCTCGGCTCGTTTGCAGCCCTAAACAAAGTCATAGGCATAGGTGTCAATGTTTAGAATCCATCATGATGCAGATTTTTGGCACATGACCCCTGAGAAAAGTGAAACATGATGTAACTGCCGATACAAAATTGCACACACTCTCCACATTTAAAGACATGCTCATGTATACACACCTGTGATGCTGTATGACTATAGAAAAAGTGGTCCTTCTGATGTACGAGTAATATTTACTGGAGCTATCATAGAATGTACGCTACCAGCCATATTGAAAGTGACTAACAATCGTGCAGTAAATATAGAAGTGTTGAATTAATTCTCTCCTAGGGGGCAAAGTAATGCATCTTTTTTTTTTCCCTCTGTATGATGTTGGGGGTATTTACAAACTCTAAGGATGGTTTTCAGTGTAAATTCATCTTTCTTTTCTCTGGATGAATCAAAGCTTCTCTATGCTGCAAATCTGATGATTATATATGGACCATGGATTTCTTTTTTCAAAATATCTAAATTGTAAGTTATAGATATTTTTCAAGTCACCTACTCTTCTGAATCTTGTAATTTTTATTTTAACTAAAAAATTGAAGTTTGAAAAAAAAAAAAAATTTACATTTGTACTCTCTCTCTCTCTCTCTCTCTCTCTCTGTCCCCCTTTTTTTTGGGGGGTAACGAGGAACTGTTCAATCCAGATGCCCTTTTTCCCTCCTTTGGTTTTGGGTATAAATGCTGAAATTTTGCTTTAAGTAGTTGATACTGAGTAGTGACCTCTGAGTTAAGAAACTTCTTCCCCCTCACCCTCTCTTCTGTTTTTGAGAACTTTGTGTATTCTTTACAATTTGCTAAACACCTCTGCGCGTCATTTGTTGTGGACATTGAATCTAATTAATTTTTTTACTACACATTGCTCATTGCTTTACTTCAGACTTGGCCAGAGATTAAATGGGGGAAGCGCATAAGGGTTATTTTAGATGTTGGTTGTGGTGTTGCTAGCTTTGGTGGCTATTTGCTGGATAAAGATGTTATTACCATGTCATTTGCCCCAAAGGACGAACATGAGGCTCAGATACAGTTTGCTCTTGAGCGGGGTATTCCAGCCACTCTTTCGGTCATTGGAACACGAAGGCTGACTTTTCCAGATAATGCATACGATTTAATTCACTGTGCAAGATGCAGGGTTCACTGGGATGCAGATGGTACTTTTTATGGCCTTATTTATGTAGTATTTATTTTATTAAATGCGCTGTTTCTCTGTCTCTCTGTTTGGAGGTATTGAGTGTGTTGCATTGCTTTTGGTTGATAACTGTAGGTGGAAAACCATTATTAGAACTCAACAGGATTCTTAGGCCTGGAGGGTTTTTTATATGGTCAGCTACACCAGTTTATCGGGAGGGTAAAAGAGATCAGGATATATGGAAGGGTTTGTAATCCAAAATCTCTACTTTTTCTTCTTTTTACCATTATATCTTTGCAGTTCTCATAGAAGTTTCCTTGTACCAACCACTGCCTTTTGCAATCAGACTGTGCTAAGTCGATACTACTTTGTATCATCACTGAACTTTATTTTTTTGCAGTAGACATTACGTTCAAGGTCGAATAAGGTGTTATTTCCTCTAACCTAACTTGGATATTTGTAACTCCTATTTCTTGCAGTTATGGTGGCTCTGACTGAATCTATTTGCTGGAAGGTAGTGGCTAAGACTCTTGATATATCTGGAGTTGGGCTAGTTATATATCAGAAGCCTGTTTCTTCTTCCTGCTATGCAAAACGCAAAGAAAATAATCCACCTTTATGTGATCAGAGTTATAGGCAGAACAGTTCGTGGTAGGCTATATGCCATTTTTTTATGCTCAGCAGTAGTAGTGATGGTGGTGTTACTGTTGTTGTTATTTAATGTTTTATTTTGTTCAAAAGGTATGCGCCCCTAGACGGTTGTCTTCCCCCTCTCCCGCTAGCTAGCATGGGTGACTCAGACAATTGGCCTGCACCCTGGCCCAAAAGGCTTAGCAGTAAACCTCCAAGCCTATCAACCGAACAAGATGCTGAAGAAATCTTCTATCAGGACACCAGACACTGGTCTGCACTTGTCTCAGAAGTTTATCTAGAAGGTCTTGCTATAAACTGGTCAAGCGTGCGAAATGTAATGGATATGAATGCTGGTTATGGAGGGTAAGAATTATAAATTTATTTAATTAGTTCTTATCACCATCACTTCTCTCTCTTAGTAATCATCTCAGATTTTTTCTCTGCTGTTTACAGATTTGCTTCAGCTCTTATTGATTTACCTCTATGGGTAATGAATGTCGTACCCATTGATATGTCAGATACATTATCTATTATATTTGATAGAGGGCTGATTGGCATATACCATGACTGGTGCGAGTCTTTTAACACCTACCCTCGATCTTATGATCTTCTACATTCCAGTTTCCTCTTCAGAAATCTTACTCAAAGGTACGACTATAAACAACATTGTTTTAACCTATTGATCATATGGTGAAATGGACCTTTGAGTTGCAAATTTTATGAAATCATGATCTGTTTTTTTTTTTTTTTTTTTTTTTTTTTTTGCAATATTTCAGATGTGACATAATAGATGTAGCTGTGGAGATGGATCGCATGCTGAGACCTGGTGGATATATGGTGGTTCAGGACACAATGGAGATGATCAACAAGATTAAGCCAATTTTGCATTCACTTCACTGGTCAGTAACCATACATCAAGAACAATTCCTCGTCGGGAAGAAAGGTTTTTGGCGTCCGGATGCCAAAATCAGTATATGAAACAAGGTGCTTATTGTTTTTCCCTGTATAATCTTATTACTATTTGTTGAAAAAAAAGGAAGGAAAAAGAAGATGAACACTATTCTTTCTCCAAATTATAGGAAAATTTATGATGTAGGGAATATAAATTAAGTTCATTCCCACTTTTCTTAGAAAAGTAGTTTATGAATTGTACGGATAAGGAGATTCTGTTGTATTGTTCATTCCAGCGATGGGAGTAATAGTTATACAAATTATTGTCTGCCTTCACTCTTTTCCCTGTACTATATTGTTTTTTGTTTTTTTTTAAATGAAAGTCCATTTAGGAAAAATAAATAAATTATAGTTATACACATTCAATATGTACAGTGCATTGAGTTAATGTAACATATCTATTGATATAGTTGTTCCTGGGATGGAGCCATTGATAAACCTTTTTGTTATGTTTGGGAGTACCGAATTGGTGATTTAGTTAAAATTTTGAACTAAATTTTCTCTAATTTCAAGTACAAACACAACATTTGTGAATTTTGTACCAATATCTCCGGTTGGAGGTTGCTATGACACAAGAAACGGTATTCCACTTACTCCAGCTGACTGGGTTCGTGACCACTATGACCATATGATGTTCCATTCCAAACATTTTCTTGTTTGGTATGACATTTTTAATGGAGTAAAATCAGTATAGGGAGGAGTTGAAAGGCTTGCTAACGAAGAGAAAAGGACTTAGCTGAAACTTTTGGACACAAAATAATTTGAATGCAATCTAAAATTTTAAATTTTTTTCTTTAAGAAAAATTGGCATTATAGACAAAAGTAAAATGATAGACAAAGTAATGGAATACCGAGATATATATAATATAAATAATAACATAATTTTATTTTTTAAACCATTTCAGAGCAACTTTTAATATAATAATTAGAAATGAATTAAGGTTTTATTATACTAATACTCTTATATAAATAAATACTTATATTTATATTTAGCTATGTCCATATCGTGTCTATATCTTATGCTTTGTTTGATTGGAGGGATGAAAAAATAGATGGAAGGGAGAGGGGGAAGGATAAATGAGGCATTCTTAAGGAAGAGAAGTTGTCTCCTTCACTTTTTATTTAATTGGATGGAATGAATAAGAGAATGGATGGATGATATGACATTTTTTTATGTTTGGTTGAAGGAATGGAAAGATAATCTTTGTATGTTTTTTAACCAATATACCCTCATTATTAACATGAGTGAATTTTTTTAAAAAGGCTAAAAATGAAAATTAAAAATTGTTAGTTATTATCCTATTTTCTCTCTCCTCTATCCCTCAAAATTGGGGGTAACAAAATACAAAGAAATGAGGGATCCTCTTTACTTCCTCCCTATTTTTCCTTCCCTTCAACTAAACGCAAAAAAAACTTCTTACCCATCCCTCCCACTAAATGTAACATTACTATTTAAAATTTTACATGTTCGATGTATTCATATTGTATACTGTCATTCGTGTCAATGCTACATAAGTGCCTGCATATGCATACAGTATGTTGTGCGCTCAATTGAAAATGCACAACATCATCCATATAATTATCCATATAATATACTATGAAAGATCTGATTTAATGACAAAGGGTAGAACTTATTTTGACATTTTTAATATGTGAGAGGGTATAGATAAACAAAACCTAGGCATTGCTTTTTGAAATGATTAGTTTAAGTGCATATTTTAGGCCTCAGTGTATTAAACTCTCTAATTTTAAAGTATTACATTATACCTCTCTCGTTTTATTATTATTATTATTATTATTTTGGCAATAAACAACCACTTTTTATTAATTATTACACCTAACCTTTTTTGACTAATGGAAGAAGATTAACCGGAAAAAAAGGGGAGAGGGAAATTTGTTGGGCACATTCTTTCTTATTCTAATTATTATTATTTTGTATTTGGCTTGGCCAATTAGAGAAAGAATGGAAAAAATGATGGAAGAGGTATTGTTTAGAAGAGTAACGATCTCTTGCTCACTAGTTAATATGAAATTAATTCGCACCATACACAGTAACTATTGAATGTTAAAAAGACAATTACCAAAATAATATAGCAAATCACATCCAATAGTCATCATGCATAATGTGAATAGATATCTTGTTAAGATCATTCATGTTGTTTAGAAAAAGAAAGTGTTCATCCCTCCTTTTATTTAATTTAAATTGGGTGAAATGAAAGAAAAGATGTGATATTATTATTTTATAATTATACTTTTAATTTTTTAGATTAATATTCTTAAATAAGGATGATAAACTCTTCTTCATTTTATCCGATTAATATTAGTGTTTTTTAATCATATTTTCTTCTGAGTTTTCTCTTTTCTTCCAATCTTCCTCTAACCAATAATTGAAACATAGGCTAATTCTTTGAAAATCTTGTTTTGTTTAACTTGTTTTTTAAAAATTCTACTTCCAAATCTTATCTTTAATCTCTCATCTATTTAAATCTCTTTATTATTTTTATTTTATTTTATTTTTTTGTTTAACTGGTGCAAGTAGATTTCTCCTTGAAAGAAGTTCTTTCACTTTTGCACTTCTTACGCAAGTCTATTTAAACACTTTGCTAATTTTATTTTAAAACATTTTGTACTCATTTCTTGATACCAAAAGTCAATATAATTATAATAAACATCAATAATATAATTTAATGACAAAGAAAAAATAAAATAAAAAGGTATATTTATAAAATTAAAATATAAAAATAACATTGACAGCTCCAGTATACTTGCTCTCAAGTATTAAAGGGCCCCACTGAATTTCAACGCCTAACGACATTCCGAATTCGCTCGAATATTTGCCGCGATATCACCTTTGACTCTCTCTCTAACCCCCCATTTCTCTCTCCATCATCATCTACTTATTCTACATCTCTCTCTCTCTCTCTCTCACACACACACGCACACACACCCCATACAAACAATCGAATCTCACTCTGTTTGTATCTTCGCACGTCTTCTTCCTCTTTCTCTCTCTAAAGATTCACCTACAATGGCCACATCAATTCAGAACCTCCTCAAGGAGAGAAAATATCCATTCATTCTCTCTCTATTCGTCTTACTCCTATCCGTCACCTTCTTTCTCTTTACTACCACTCAGTCCCCTCTCTATTTCGCCGTCAATTTCGACCAATCACAGTCCATGTCATCGCCTCCTCCACCGCATTCGATCTCATCACCGCCGCCGCCGCCGCAGCAGCAATCAATATCATCGTCTCCGCAGTCACAATCAACATCGTCCTCTCCACCGCCAAAACAGTGGATTTCATTGTCTCCGCCCTCGCAGTCGACATCATCGCCTCCACCTTCAAAACAGTCGATTTCATCGTCTCCACCCTCAGATTATAAACCTCCGATCTCAGATGCCAGCACGAATGTGAGTGTTGCGTTCATTGATTTGGAACTGGATTGGAAGGTTTGTGAAGGTGTGGTGGCGGTGGATTACATACCGTGTTTGGATAATTACAAGGCCATCAAGAAGCTGAAGTCGAGGAGGCACATGGAGCACAGAGAGCGGCATTGCCCCAAGCCAAGCCTGCGGTGTTTGGTTCCCCTTCCGCAAGGGTATAGGGTTCCGGTTCGGTGGCCTAAGAGCAGGGACATGGTGAGATTGATACTACTTCGGTAAGATTTGATTCTTGTTTTCGGTATTGAATTCTTGTTTTAATTTTATTGAATCGGGTATTGGTTCTGCTGATTTAAGCGTCATTTGAGTTTTGTACAATGGAAGCTGTGTATTACCTGAATTTTATCCAGACTTGTGATATTGAGTTTGGCTATAATTTACGAGGGTGTGCTTGGTTTAGGTTTCTGAAAATAGTTCTCAAAAACTCATAAAACAAAAAACTATTCTCAAATAATTATAGAAGACACTGGCTGCTTTTCATAGAACTGGAAATCAGAAAACTGTATAAAAACCTATTTGATTCGGTTTTTAGAAAACAGTTTTATCCGAAAACTTCTTGATAACTATTTTTTTATTACAAACCAAGCAAACCCTAATTCTCTGAAGCAATTTTTTTTTTGGTTCTTTTTTCTTTTATTTTTTGACAGATTTTGATACATTCACAACTAAAAACTGTGGATTAAATTTCAGAAGTTACTTTGCACAGAGATTGATACTTAATAAACTGTGATTGTGCTTAGAAAAAAGAAAGGAAAGGGGGGGGGGGAGCCAATCGTAGAGCTGATTCCACCATTGCGGGATCGTTGTAAGGGATAGGCTGGATAAAGATGAAAAGGTGGAATTGTTTTCACAAAGTAGCTGCTATCAGAATCACAACCATGTTCTCTCTCTTGAATATCCAACTTTACTTGTAACTTGTAAACCATACAGTTATCCATTTACACTGGAATTGTCAAAGAAAATGAGAACTCCAGTTCATAGTCTTTTTCTTTTATTTTATGTTATCTTATTACTGTTGATATATGCCTAAAGTTTGATATTGTCTTCCCACAAGACAGAAAATCATACAGTGGTGCCCCATATTGGCTTGAATTCAAATTGCAGAGGCTGACTACTCAAATTGCATTGTCTACGACAACTCTGTGGCTCTTTGGCATACATTTTTTTTCCCATGTAAAAATTAGCCAAACTCTAACTTTGGCAAAGATTTTTTTCCCACGTAAAATTTAGCCTAACTCCAACTGGCTCTGTTTCCTTTCAGGCTTGGAGCAATAGATTATTTGTTGATTTACTGTTCTTTTATGTGAATTGAAGTACTTTGAATAAAATTGTATATGACTATTGACTGAACAGGGTGCCTAATTTTTCTTGTTTTCTTATTTCTTTGCTGCCTAAATTGTCAAAAAAATTCAGTTTTTACTTTCAATTTTATATTTTCCAGATATGGTTTGACAATGTTCCGCACCCAAAGCTTGTTGAATACAAGAAGGAACAAAATTGGGTGCGCAAGTCTGGTGATTTTTTTGTTTTCCCTGGCGGTGGTACTCAGTTCAAGCATGGAGTTAAAAACTACATTGGTGTTATAGAAAAGGTAATATATAGAATCATTAACTCAAAACTGTGTTTCAAAATCTGTAATAGCATGCATTTCATGTCCATTGTTCTTCATTCAATATTAACTTGTTGCATTTAACTGGATTTTGTTTACAATAAAACTAGAATCCTCTTATATTTTCTTTATGCAAAATGGCTTTACAAGTTAAAAATATACCTGATTGAAGGAAACAGATTAAGGAAGAAACGTTTGCAGATCTCAATCAATGAGCAATTTCTTTCCCTGACAAGTAAAGATATCTGAAAACATGTGCCCTAAAAAGTTGAAATGGAACTTTAGTTTTGGCCTAGAATTTTCTGATGTTGGAGAGGTTAGACCTATCAATTAACCCTGCCTTCATGTTTGGCATTTGTAGCTGTTACCTTGACTAATATGTAACAAAAGTCACAGGCATAGATGTCAATGTTTAGAACTCATCATGATGCAATTGTTTGGCACATCACCCCTTAGAAAACTAAAATATGATGCAACTGACATACAAAAATGCACACACTTTCCTCACCTAAAGAGGTGCTCATGTATGTACAATTGTCATGCTGTCTAACATTATTAAAACAAGGTCCTTGTGATGTAGGCATAATACATGCTGGAGCTAACATAGAATGTACGCTGCCAGACCTTTTGAAAGTGACTAAAAATCAAGTAGTGAGGAGTAGGAAGTGTCTTGAATCAATCCTCTCTTATGGGCAAAGCCATCCAATTATTCTTCTTCTTTTTTTCCTTGGGTGATGTTTTCTGCCAAATTTTAGTGGATTATAAGAATAAAGCATGATGCAAAGGCATCCAACCCTTGTATTGCCAAATTTTTGTATTTTTTTTTGGGTCTAATCTGGCTTATGATTGGCTAAACAGTAGTCTTTGCATGTCCTTTGATGTGGACAATGAATCTAATTCATTTTTAGTATATGTAGCTTTATGTGATTTAATTCTTGATTTACTCCAGACTTTGCCAGAAATTAAATGGGGGACGCGCATAAGGGTTGTTTTAGATGTTGGTTGTGGTGTTGCTAGCTTTGGTGGTGCTCTTCTGAATAAAAATGTTCTTACCATGTCATTTGCACCAAAGGATGAGCATGAAGCTCAGATACAGTTTGCTCTTGAGAGGGGAATTCCTGCTATTCTTTTGGTCATTGGAACACAAAGGCTGACATTCCCAGATAATGTGTATGATTTAATTCACTGTGCACGATGTAGGGTTCACTGGAATGCAGATGGTATGTTTTATGGCGCTGTTTAGTTCTTTTATTAATATATCAAACTTGCTGTTTTCTTTCGAGCTGTTTTATCGGTCTTGAGGCTATTTTATGCTATTTGTTGATAACTGCAGGTGGAAAACCGTTATTGGAACTCAACAGGCTCCTTAGGCCCGGAGGCTTTTTTATATGGTCAGCTACACCAGTTTATAAAAAGGATAAGAGACATCAGGATATTTGGAAGTGTAATCCTAAATTCTCAACCTATTTCTCTTTCATTTTTTAAACTTCCCCAGTACCAACCATTTTCTTCTGTTATAAGACTGTATTAAGCCAATAGTGAACTTCATGCTTTTGCATAAAGCCATCAGGCTCTACTTCAAAAAATCGACTAGGTAGCCTAATTCGGACATTTGTACTCACTATTTCTTGCAGCTATGGTGGCTGTGACTGAATCTCTTTGCTGGAAGCAAGTGGCTAAGATTAGAAATGTATCTGGAGTTGGGCTAGTTATATATCAGAAGCCAGTTTCATCTTCTTGCTATGCTAAACGCAAGGAAAATAATCCACCTTTATGTGATCAATATTACAGGCAGAACAGCTCTTGGTATGCTTTTGGTTTATGCAACATTCTGATGGTCAAGTGATTCTTACTGTTTTTGTTGCTTAATGTTTTCTTTTTGTGCAAAAGGTACGTGCATCTTGACGATTGTATTTCCCCGCTCCCAACAGACAACATGGGTGACAAAGGCAGCTGGCCTGCACCGTGGCCCAAAAGACTCAGAAGTAAACCTCCAAGACTATCAACTGAACAAAATGCCGAAGAAGTCTTCCACGAGGACACCAAACACTGGTCTGCGCTTGTCTCAGAAGTTTATTTGGAAGGTCTCGCTATAAACTGGTCGAGGGTTCGAAATGTGATGGATATGAATGCAGGTTATGGAGGGTAAGAAATATCAGATTTATCGAACTAGTTCTTGTTACCACCACTTCCCTTCATTATTGCTCAGGTGTTCTCTATGCTGTCTACAGATTTGCTTCAGCTCTTATTGATCTACCTCTCTGGGTAATGAATGTCATACCCGTTGATCTACCGGATACCTTACCTGTTATATTCGATAGAGGGCTGATTGGTATCTACCACGACTGGTGTGAGCCTTTTAGCACCTACCCACGAACCTACGATCTTCTGCATTCCAGTTTTCTCTTAGGAAACCTTACTCAAAGGTATGACAACAAAATGTCTGCGTGTTTAACTTATGGATTACATGGTGATTTAAAGCTTGAGTAGCAAATTTAATGTCTGTATTTTTGCAACATTTCAGATGTGACATAATAGATGTAGCTGTGGAGGTGGATCGCATACTGAGACCTGGTGGATATATTTTAGTTCACGACACATTGGAAATGATCAACAAGCTTGGTCCGATTTTACGATCACTTCACTGGTCAGTAAGCATGCATCAAGATCAATTCCTCGTCGGGAAAAAAGATTTTTGGCGTCCAGATGCCAAAATCCGAGTATAAAAAATGGTCCTAGTTGTTTTTCCTTGTATAATCTTACTACTAGTTGCTAGGGAGGCTAATTTTTTTTTCACCAAATTGTAGGGAAATTTTGGTTCCAGAGGATAGATTCATGTCTTCTTTACTGAAAAGAAAAGGTTAATGAATTGTATGGAAACAGCTTTTATAGCTATAATAAGAAAATTATATTGTTCTGTTTTGAGTTTAATTCCAATATTATTTGCGCAAAGTGTTGTGTTTTATTTTTTATTTTTCTGACCTCAAAGAAGTGTTTTTAAAGTCGCCCAGAGCTATTGGCTGTTGCACATTATCCTGTGGTCCGGGACTCTTGAGTGCTACCATTTGACCGGGGTATTTACATGGATTTGCTTTTTTTTTATCTTATTTTTACGGAAGTTCGAACCCTCCGACTTCCTTTTTGGGAAGGAAGGAATGATAAAGTTAAACCATTTTTTTATTATTATTTGCAATGTTGAATGTCAATCCAAAATATACTCATGCTATTTTTAGAATTAAAAGTATATATATTTTTTTAATTTAAATTCAAAATATTGATTTGGTGTTCTCAAACTTTTAAATAATTTTGAGTTTATCAAGTAAATGTAATAAATCTTTACACATATGTTATGGGCTTACACAAGTGTTATCAATAATGTTGAATGTTACTTCTACAATTTACTTATGTTTGGAATATTAATTCGATAATTTAAATGTAACATTGAGTAATTTTGTATTGGAATTTGTTAAGTAATTTACAATAAACAACTACTCCGTAAATTTATTTTTTATTATTATTTTTTTTCTATCGTTCAATCAAACCATGAAAATCAAATTAATCAAAGCAAGACAAAAATATAGATTAACTGTTTAATTAATAAAAATTACAGTCTCAGCAATTAAACTATAAAAACCGTAACCATAAAATTAACCGCCTTTACATTTTTTACCTTTCGACAAGTTCGCAGTAAAATACAGACAGTAAAAAAAAAAAAAAATGGAAATAAAATCGTCAACTCCGTCCAACCTCCAATAAGGAGGACCGTGACGTTACCCTCCGGTCACATGCACGGCCAACCAGTCGCTTCCCTTTCCTTTCCTTTCCCTTTCCTCTTTTCACTTCCATTTCCCCCTTCTCCATATTCCACATGCTCTTTCATTTCCTCTCACTCCTTTCCCCTTCACCTCCGGCAGAAACCCATTCACAACCACAATCGCCCAAATCTGCCTAATTGATGGATAGCAAGGGTGCGCACAACACTTCCCGCCCCCATCTCGGCGGCGGAGGAGGCGGCGGCGGTGGCGGCCGAGAAGATTGCTGGAGCGAAGGCGCCACCGAGGCTCTAATCGAGGCCTGGGGAGACCGATACCTCATGGTGAACCGAGGTAACCTCCGTCAGACGGACTGGAAGCACGTCGCCGACGCCGTCAACGCCCGTCACAACGGCGTCAAGCCCCGATGGACGGACGTCCAGTGCAAGAACCGCGTCGACACCGTCAAGAAGAAGTACAAGGCCGAGAAGGCCAAGACCCTGCCGTCAAAGTGGCCGTTCTATCACCGTCTCGATCACCTCCTCGGAAACGCCGTTCCGACCAGTAACAAGAAAAATCAAAAGCCCCACACCGTTACTCTCACCGTTAAATCTAGGTCAAAACAAAACCCTAACCCTAACCCTAACACCATGGTCGTCTATTCCGGTGGCTTGTCCAGGCGGAACTCGAGTGGCTCTGATGAGAGCTCTCTTGGTGGTGGAAGAGACGAGGATGTGAGGAAGAATAGGATGGACTCTGTGGATTTTTCGGAGGACACCGCGTATAAGGAATTGGCGAGAGCAATTCTTAGGTTTGGGGAGATATATGAGAGGACTGAGAGCTCGAAGCAGCAGCAGATGATGGAGTTGGAGAAGCAGAGGATGGAGTTCATTAAGGATCTTGAATTGCAGAGGATGAATATGTTTATGGAATCTCAACTTGAGCTCGAGAAAATGAAGTTTCCAACAAAGTATGCACCTGGTTCAGGTGAATTTCAAAGTCTCAAACTTTATTACTTTTTTGTTTTGTTTTGATAAACGATTGATTGATTAGATGATTGAACCAATTGCATTTTAGAGATTGTTCAACTAGTGGTTATTAAAAGAGGTATGAAGGTCTGTGAACGGAAAATTGTGTTGTTCTTGACAATGTTGAAGTATGGAGAGGTGAACTGATAGGGATAAGCTGCATACATATTTGTTTATGTTTCGGTGAATTGAGTGATGGCAGTCGATATCTTGTTTGTTATTTGTTGAAGAACATAATTATTAGTTGAAGAAATTTGATTTGCTGTTCATGAGAAGGTCTTTTCCCATTCTTTTCTTGTTTGCTTCTCTGCTTCTTGATCTCTTCCCTATGATTTTTTTTAAAAATATCTTCAGTGCGGTGGTTCTGATGGAAACCATATGTGGGGAAAGATTTGCTACTGTTGCTCCCATTACTTTTATATCTGCCTGTTGGGAGGGGGGACAAGGATTTCCATTTTATTCCCGGTAATAGGATTTCCGTTTTTTGATATAATTGAATAATGTTCTTGCAACTGATGGGGGTTATATCTTATAAATACAATTGCTAATAATAATAAAAAAAATCTTAGAAATACATTTTCTTATTGTTGTAGGGGTTAAAGTCATGGTAGTACCGATTAATGTCATGGTGTCATTGTAGTTGCTGTGCTCGACATCTATGTAGTTTTGTTGGGGGATTAGTTGGAGACGTTCATGTTAAAACATTCCATGCCTAAATTTGTGGCTTCTGAATATATGATAGTGATACGGAGTATTCCAGGAGGTCTATACCTTGATGTGACGTCATTGTACATGTATCCACTAAAACAGAGAGTATATGATTTTTGTCGATGGATTTTATTTGACAATTGGTGGTTTGCACAGGCCATAAAAACTTGAACTGAATATTAACGTGTCGACGGATATTTGCTTCGGATATTTGGAGAGACATTTTTCTCTTGCTGCAACTGGAGATGCCTACTTTCACCTCTCTCCGTCAGGTGGTGGACTGGTTCATTCTTCACACCTCCAATAAGTCCATAAAATCCAATTTTTTGAGCGCTCTTTTTTCAGTAACATTATGGAAGATATGGTCTATTTGAAACTCGGCTCTTCATAATGGGACTAGAGATCAACCATCTCATACTGTTCAGGCTATTGTTTGGGATGTTATTACATATCTCAAAATCAGCCTATCTGATCTCCTAACTGCTTTTGGTTCTCAATGATGCCTTGCTTGGTTTTTTCTAGCATTTATTGGAAATGGGCTTTTTCAACCCATTGATTTGTAAATGGAGGCATGCCTCCTTATGTACTTGTAATGTTTTCTTTCTTTTTTTTATAAAAACCCCCTTTCAGGAAAAAAAAAATACCTATCACTTGGTGATGCAGGGATATTGCATTAGCACATTACCCAGAAATGTACTACCTACATACACATCACGTAGGAGGGAGGGAAAGACTCGAGTACATAATATTTGGCATTATTTTACACCAGTGATAGCTGTGAGACTCAAACCTAAAACCTCTAGCTTTAAAGCTTGAACATTTATCATTAAAGTTAACCTAGCACTTGGTGATGCAGGGATATTGCATTAGCACACCCATATTTGTTTCTGTATTATATACTTCTGGTTAAGTTTAGTCCCTGTTGGACATAGTCGTGCAGAATGTTGTGCAAATAAAGACTTGGTCTGTCAGAATTCTTGTAAATTAGTTTTACGAATTTACTTGATTTTGCATGCTCTCTCTCTCTCTCTCTCACACACACACACACACACACAAACACACATATTATACACATGGAAGTCAAAATGGTGGCTCAAAGATATGCTTGCTTTTTATTTTTGATTGTGTTTTCTTTTGCGTTGCGTTGTTTTGAACATCTGACATTGCAATTTGGAACCATGTTTATGATGTCATGATGTTCATGTTGGTGCTTAGCTTTTTATTGCTTTCCAGTTTCCATTTAATTTCGTAAGCTTTTACTGAATTTGACATACTACTAACAGGGAAGAAGTTATAGCTTGGCATGAATGCTCTCCTTGAGAAGGGACGGACAACTAGAAATTTCTGGGAACCGTCACAAGACCTCACTCCGAATGAGTATATTCATCCTCCCTGGCATGATACGCTATCTATAGATTCAAGTTTGAAGCATCTAATATTTAAAAGAGGATATGGCTGTATTATATCCATGGCTGTCATGTTTGTTGTATATTATTATTACTTATTTTGCTACAGATTTCTTGTACTTCAAAAATTTATCTAAGTGTATTATTAAATCAGTGTATCTCCCTTTCCCGCTCTTCGATTTTATTGTTTTTCATATTCCATCACGAACATGTGAATCTTGTTTCTCATAAAATACCGGTAATGCTTGTTGAACTGCTGATTAATTTGCTTCTATCTTCTTCCCCTCTTTTATTAAGTGGGTAATCAGTACCATCCATATGATTAATGGCTGTAAATTACTTCCATTGAATTATGGGGATTTTGTCAAAGGACATAATTGCTTTAGCGGTGTAGGAAGTGTGAAATCTGAGATATATTGTACCCTACTGAAAGTGATATGGATAGTGTGATAAAGTTTTGGTTCTCCCGTGGTGCCATGAATTTCATCCCCTGATTATCACCATGGCTTTAGGCCAGGATCAGATTTGAATCAATGTTGAATTTTTTTGAGCCGTTACACTGTATACCATCGAAGTTGTTCTTTTAAAATTTCACTGAAAATTTCAGTTGTGAAATCCATCTCCGAGCAAAATCCTGGTTAGAAAAAACAGAATGAAAGCCTTGTTCTTCTTCAAATTATTTGTAGACTGAAGAGAGTATTGTTCTTGAATTTGGAATTTGGGGTAAAGGACCATTTTTATTCATTTCCATGGAATTCTGGTTGAGATTGGTTATGGACCAGCTATTGTCTAGCAGAGGAGGTCAGTGAAAGAAACCATGTTGTGCAACCATGAACCTTGGTGTTGCTCTTAGGCACCAGACTAATGGCGCTGTTCTTTGGGTTTGTAGTAATCGTGTGTTAAGGCCGCTCTCGTGCACTTGGGCTAGCCTTTTCTATCTTGGTGCAAATTGTACCAATTAGGCATCTTTTCTTAGCGAGTTGCAAGCTAAAACGTGAGTTCCTTTTATTTTCCATTAGTCGTCTTCAATATAATTATATTTATCTCATAAGCAAACGGCCCATTAGCTCAGTTGGTTAGAGCGTCGTGCTAATAACGCGAAGGTCGCAGGTTCGAAACCTGCATGGGCCAAAATTTTTTTTTTTTTTACTCCCTTTGGCCTTTGCCCTTTTCCCTTTTCCCTTTCCCTTATGATATGGGCCTGGCCCAGACTTTGAATCTCTTCGTGTGGGGGCCCAAATGGGTTTTTTTAGCTTTTAGGATTTGGCCCAAATGGTTTTCCATTTACGTAAAGATCTCTCAAAATGTTTACCTCTTTATATTCAATTTCTATTGAACTCCTAGTAGCTGTAATTCTGGAATTGAAGTAACTAAATAACATGTTGTCAGCATTAGATTTAGATTTATTGTTTATTAATTTTTCCTCACCAAAGTCCAAACATTTTTTTTTTTTTTTGGGAATTTCAAGTCCAGGCATATTTGTCTTATCATCTATATGAGATTTGTATCTAATTAAATTAGTAACGCAACTAGAAAAATGATAAATAAATGTTACATACTTGGATGTATAAAGAATGACCTATTAGGCGGAGATAATCCAGAAACAAAATTCCAAACTCTGGTCACACCCAAGTCGAATGGGCTTTATTTTAATTAAGCATTACAGAATTAATGATAAAGTTTAGTGCTACTAAGCAGTATCAAGCTTGATGCTTTGCATATGTTGCGACATCCTACAATATCGGGAATGATGTACCCGGAGCCTCTCAGCCGTTAGATCATTTATCAGGTGAGTCCCATCACCAAATTCAACAGGCCGAGAACCTTAGAGAGATACGGTATTTCAGGGTATTGTAGACTTTTACGCACATCTCATTCTCTTTCTCATGACAACACTAATAAAAACAAGCATTTCTAATGGTGATCAATCCTAATAAAACGTGTACTGCAAAATAATAGCATTCCGATTGAGAATTTATATGTAGTGTTTGTGTTGTTTTTTTTTTTCCCGGATTGAGAATTTATACGGAGTGTTTGTGTTTTTTTTTTTTTCATATTGCAGAATAATAGCCTCTTGATTGAGAATTTATACGGAGTGCTTGTGTTTTTTTTTTTCTTCATAAAAACAAGCATTTCTAATGGTGATCAATCTTAATAAAACGTGAACTGCAAAATAATAGCATCCCGATTGAGAATTTATACGTAGTGTTTGTGTTATTTTTTTTTCTTCCCGATTGAGAATTTATACAATCTGATTTATAGACGGACAAATATCCTCATAAGATCAATCTAGTGTTGCTGACGTTTAAGATATGCTTGATCCAAATGCAGCCATACATTCATAGATTGAAACTTGAAACTCATGGATTTACAATCAGTTATTTACAAGTGTTGTTAAACACATCAAGAAATGTTGGGTGATACTAGGGGGCGTCTACAAACTCAACTTCTTCTCAAATTTGAATTAGTCTAGTTCGAAAATTAATTTGAACAAGTCTTTTCAAGCTTGACAATTTTTTATTATTTATTTTTGGTAGAGGATGAGGGTGGGTTTTGTTGCAATGGTAAGATTACTTTATTCTGATCTGGATGGCACAAGTTAAAATCAAAAAAATACACGCAATGACATCACATACACTGAGTTGCTCCTTTTTTTTTATTTGATGACGGTGGTGTATGAGCATCTTAGAGTGCACCTATATATGTAGTCCCTCCATTTCATATGTACCAAAAATTCATCAAAAAAATTCCTAGAGGTGGAGCTACCCCTTTTTACAATGGTGGTGTTAGCATTTTAAAGCTGTACCACCAAGTATATGTAGTACCTCCATCTCACATGCACAAGAAAATTATTGAAAAAATTCTGAAGGTAGTTTCAAGAGTTGAAACTTTCAACCGTCATGAAATGAGAGTCGTGTCATTAGACTATTTCTTAAGAGAGTAGAGTCAAACGAGAGTTAGAAATTAAAATCTGAAAATAAGAGCATAATTCCTTTCCATAATAGGTTTGAACAAGAACATCATATTTAATAATGTAGTGCAAGGTGTCTCAAAAAGTAGGAATTTCGAATGAGAGCAGTCATTCACTCCACAATAAGCTTTCTATTCCAACAACAGATTGCCAAGTCAAAAAGTCATTTTTAAAAGACAACATAGAGAAAAATTAGCATGATACAGGTGAATTTAGTCCCATTTAATTAATTAGTTGGGCAGGTTATTGCTTCCTTCCATACGCTACTTTCCCAAGCTCAAGACAAAGTTCTCAACTCCCATGGATCAAAATCAAACCATTTTTATATGACCCGCCTTTTTATCCTGCACTGTTTGTATATAATGCAAGGAGAGGCGATATAAAAAACGAAATTTTCAACCGAATGTAGAGCCAAACATTAGACTAGGGCATGTGGGTTCCACTTTCACCATCCAACGGAAGAGGAGTCTATTTTTAATTTTTTTTATAAATGGGGTGTTCGGACTTTTGCCTCAACTAATTCACATGACTCATACAAAGTGTCTTCTAAAACTTAGACTATGTCCACGACTCCTAAGAAATCTGTTTGACTCTCCATTCAGTTGAAATTTCGAAAAGTTGATCCTTATTATAATGCAATTGTCTAATGTTAGTCTATTTTTTTATTTTTTTTTTATAATCGGGGTGTCCGGACTTTTACCTTGACTAATTCACATGACTCGTATAAGATGTTTTTCAAAACTTAGACTATGTCCGCAACCTCTAAGAAATCTGTTTAACTCGCCCTTCGGTTGAAATTTCGAAAAGTTGATCCTTACTATAGTTGTGCAATTGTCCAATTGCAGTGCTTAAAACAATTCATGTTTAAGGTCTGACCAGATGATATAAGACAATCCATAACCAAACATATATATATGTGTGTGTGTGTGTGTGTGTCTTTGAATTGAATATAAAACTGGCGGGGAATATAGCTAACCCTATAAGGCCGGTATGTCCTCCAAGTGGCAGCACCCCAGTAAGCCTTTCCCTCCTACTTAGCCATCTTATTGTTGTCGCCTATTATAAACAGTACAAACAGAAACAGTCAACAGTCCATCACATTATTTTAATTTATCACAAAACGTTGAACGTCTTCCCAAGCAATCTAAACCCTAACAAACCCAAAATCACAAAAACAACAATGAACAGAAAAAACATAATCAGAAACCATGGATTTAGCTCTACCTCCTCTCATGGTCTCTGCAGGCTTTCTTCCAACTGGTTCATTGCTAGAGTCCTTGATCTACATCTCCAATGATGTTACCTCCATTGAAAAGCTTCCATTTGTGCAGGTCAAGAATGTATCCACAATGATAAGAAGGATCAAACTTCTTTCTTCATTGTTTGATGAAATTCAAGAAACTAACAGCCCACTTCCTCCATCATCAATCCTCTGCCTCACAGAGCTCTTCTCCGTGATTCGGAGGGTGAAGTTCTTGACACAAGTGTGCAAGGAAGGCAGTTCTTTGTGGAACCTCATGCAGACGGAGTTTGTTTCGAATCAGTTTCACGTGATTGCGAAGGAGATGGGAAGGGCACTTGATATTTTGCCTCTCAGCTTGCTTGATGTCACGGCAGACACTAGAGAGCAAGTTGAGCTTCTTCACAAGCAAGCCAAAAAGGTTGAATTGTTTGTTGATCCAAAGGAGGTTCAAAGAAGAGAAGAGCTTCTCGGAGTAATGGCTGCAAACAATGAGAGGAACAGCAAGAAAAAGGGGTTGATTGATTTTGGGAAAGTGAGGGAGATCCTAAGCTTCATTGGATTGAGAAACCCTGTTGATTATGATGAAGAAATATCGAAACTCGAGAGAGAAGCTGACAAGCAGGCAGGCACAGGTGGACTAATAGTGGTTTCCAACATAAACAATCTCATATCCCTTGTTTCACTATCCAAACCTATGATTTTCAGTGGGGGAACCAATGAAAAACTGAAACTGCGCTCGGCTTCATTCAGGAGGAATCATGATCATTCTTCATCTTCTCAGTCAACGATTTTCAGCATCCCGGATGAATTTCGTTGCCCAATCTCACTTGACTTGATGAGAGACCCTGTGATAGTTGCATCAGGGCACACTTATGATCGAAATTCGATTGCCCAGTGGATCAATTCAGGGCATCACACATGCCCCAAAAGTGGGCAGAGGCTAATTCACATGGCCCTCATACCCAACTATGCACTCAAGAGTTTAACCCAACAATGGTGTGAGGAGAACAACATTCCAGTAACTGAATCTGTATTATCATCTTCTTCGGATATGGGGAGAAGCAGCAGCAAGAGAAAGTTATGTGAGAAAGTGATTGATCACATTTCCGCCACAAAAACTGCCTCGGATGCAGTCAAAATGACAGCAGAATTCCTAGTGGGGAAACTAGCAACCGGTTCACCAGTTATCCAGAGACAAGCAGCATATGAGCTCCGGTTACTAGCAAAAACTGGCATGGATAATCGCAGGTTAATAGCCGAGGCAGGAGCCATTCCTTTTCTGGTGACATTACTTTGTTCCCCGGATCCAAGAATTCAAGAAAATGCAGTCACTGCACTTCTTAACCTCTCAATCTTGGAGAACAACAAGGTACTAATAATGTCAGCCAGAGCAATTGACAACATAATAAATGTTCTACAATCAGGGAAAACAATGGAGGCAAGAGAAAATGCAGCAGCTGCAATCTACAGCTTGTCTATGATAGATGATTACAAGGTGATCATTGGTGCGAGTCCCAGGGCCATACCGGCCTTGGTAGGGCTACTAGTAGAAGGCACGACAGCCGGGAAAAGAGATGCTGCAACAGCACTTTTTAACCTTGCAATTTATAACATGAATAAGGCAAGTGTTGTTACTGCTGGGGCAGTACCGTTGCTCATAGAGCAGTTGATGGATGACAGGGCAGGAATAACAGATGATGCCTTGGCATTGCTTGCTCTGCTTTTGGGGTCCTCTGAAGGACTGGAGGAGATAAGAAAGAGCAGGGTGTTGGTGCCTCTTCTTATTGATCTCTTGAGATTTGGATCTCCCAAGGGGAAAGAAAATTCGATTACTCTTCTGTTGGGGCTGTGCAAAGATGGTGGAGAGGAGGTTGCAAGACGGTTGCTGATGAATCCGCGGAGTATCCCTTCTCTGCAAAGCTTGGCTGCTGATGGCTCCTTGAAAGCTTGTAGAAAAGCCGATGCTCTACTTAGGTTGCTCAATAGATGCTGCTCTCAAGCTCGCAATCCTGTTGGATAACAGAGCTGATTGTAAGTTGTAAAGTGCAGTGTATATTTGTGGAAATTACATAAATGAATATTGTGTTCATTTGTCACTCTTGTCATATATATGCCAATGTGTTCATCTTTGACAGATAGGGTTTCGGTAATTATCTCCTTTTATTCAATCAACCAAGATATTGCTTAGACATTCAATTATTTATCTGAAAATAGTTTCTGCAAGCAGTATTTGCCAGAAAATCAACAAGGCAACCTTTGGTCCAACCCTACCGCCCACTGGTACACAAGTTTAGGTTATTAGTGTTCTGATGATATTCCCATGCCATTTGATATCTCTCCACAAAAATTACACATCAAATAGCATATAAACATAGCCATTCAATTTCAACATTGACACACTGTGGCGACCTTGTGGGCGGGTGTGTGTGAGCGTGTGCAGGGGTACCAGTAGGCTACCACATTGGGCGAGTTACAGGTGCACAATCCCACATCGTCTGGGTGTGGATGGGGTAAGTACTATATGTAGATTCAACACCCTTCTATGACACAACGCGTTTTAAAGCCGTGATAGCCGTGAACCCATCAAAACTCTGTAGTTAAGCGTGCTTAACTTGGAGTAATACCAGGATGGGTGACCCCCTGGAAAGTCTCTGGTCTGAGTGAGCTAAAAGCGGACAATATTGTGTCTGGCCAGGGTGAGGGTCGTTACAAATGATATCAGAGCCTGACCCAGCCGGAAATGTGGCCGTGTGCAAGGGGCACCAGTAGGCTACCACATTAGGCGAGCTACAGGTGCACAATCCCACATCGTCTGGGTGTGGATGGGGTAAGTACTATATGTAGATTCAACACCCTTCCATGACACAACGCGTTTAAAGCCGTGATGGCCGTGAACCCATCAGAATTCTGTAGTTAAGCCGTGAACCCATCAGAATTCTGTAGTTAAGCGTGCTTAACTTGGAGTAGTACCAGAATGGGTGACCCCCTGGGAAGTCTCTGGTCTGGGTGAGCCAAAAGCGGACAATATTGTGTCTGGCCAGGGTGAGGGTCGTTACACACACCATTAAAGGTAAGCGAGGATAAGCCTTTTTATTTCATTTCTTAAAATTCAAGAGGAATTGGGAAAAGCGGTATGTCAATACAGAGTGCAAAATATAATCCCACAATACAATTTTTTCCTAAAAACATAAAAATCTGGGCGTATGTTGCCTGGCAACACCGAAAGAGAAACAAGACAGAGTCAGATCCTTTGGCGTAGGCTATGCTTATCTGGTGCAGAGAAAATTATGACTGTACAGATGCCTTCAATAATATGTTACACCTGTGTTGCACATCACAAAACCTACCCAGGATTTGGAATTACGAAAAACTGGCTAGTGACGGGCTTCCTGCATTAACTGAATGTTGCTCAGCATTGAAAGTTTTCGTACTCAGCATCAAACAAGGATTGAATTGACTCCAGAATTTACTATGGTGAAGAGAAGCTGAACTGCACACCAGTCTTCCCACGGTCATGCTCGAGTTGTTTCAGAATGTAACAGTAATTAACCTGATTGATAACAAAATCAAGATGTGAGTGAGGTTCTGTGATTGGTCTAGTTAGAAAATATTATCAAAAAAGAATCAGGAAGAAATTAAATTTCAGGGAACTGTCATGAAGGTGGCACTCATGCAAGGCACATACAGTTCTTACGGATCTCATATAAGAACTTGTCCAATTAACAACTTTCCAAAAGTACACTGCCAGCAAGAACAATATTAACACCCCCAACACACCCACAAAGAAAAAATACAATCGTGCTGTATTACATAAAAACACCAAATTAACGTAGGAAAAGAATTTCTCAAAAGACTCCTGGAGTATTATGAATATTTAACGGCCTCCCCACTTTCTTGAGTTTGAAGACCTGTTATATAAAGTTTCAGGACAAATAACTCACCTCCATGCGAAATAGTTTGGTGGGTACAACAATCCCAAATCCTGCAGAGCTTCGGAAAGACTCCTGGAATTTCTGAAAAGAAAAATCTTTGAATGCATTTTCTGTTAGTTTAGTAAGGTTCCCAGCACAAGCAAAAACATGTCCGTGGATACCAGCTTCTCTTAATACCCTCGAAGGAAGATCGAAAGAGAGGTCCATGAAGGAAGTAAGAGCAAGGTCGCCACCAAAAAAATCCCTTCCAGGAGTGTCAGAACTTTCATCATTGGAATTATCTCTAATTTGCCTTTGTAGATCACTAGCGCCCACTCCCCTTGACTTAAAACCCAACAATGTCTTTGGGCCTCCCAAGGTGCAAATGGGAGAAGAATTGCCACCCAAGAAGAATCTCTCACGAATGTATGAGGGCATGTTAAAAAATCCACTTCCCCATGGAAAAATCACCCCACCAGAGATACCGAAGTTCAATGCAGCATGATCAAAACCCAAGGGGAAAGCATAACGAAGATCAAACTCCTGTTGTGGAACCCAATATTCAAATAAAAAATGAGATTGGTTCAGCATCAGATACATAGAGGGGCAAAAATATGATAAGGTTATGATTGTCATCATAACTCATAGCACAGTAAACACATCACTAATGGGGAAGGGTCACAAGTTTATTTTTTGTTGATCACTTGGAAAACACACACACAAAGAGTTATATTACCATGATAATAAAACAACCAACTATAATCAAAACAAAAGAATACAAGCATTTTTTTATATTATTTCTAAAGACAGCCTAGACAAGTCGAGAATTCGCAGAGTAGGTCATCACCATAACTTACAAGCTAATATTGGAAAATGTGAATCTTAACTTCCTATCAGAGATCGAAACACAAAGTCCTATAGATTAGGGATCAAAACAAGAACCTCATAAACATGCAAACCCCATTCACTTGGGAAAAAGGTAAGGATGATGATGATGAACCTTAGAAACATATACAATAAAACAATTAAAAGGACCACAAACTAGGGACCCATTTGGTCAGGACTCCACCCCCGCCAAAAAAAAAAAAAAATTAGAATACCACAAACTAACAAAATTAAATATTATATTCTTCACCCCTTTTATAGTAAAATATAAAATAACAGACTTTAAAGGGACTAACAAGTAAATTTATGCAGAAGGTTTCAAGTCAAAGGAAAACCAAGACATATTTAACATATGTCATCGCACCATATAAGATGATGACATTACAGCTTAAGTGGAATAAAGAAATACAAAAATAGCTTGGGAGAATATAATTCAATGAGAATAGAGGAAATCAACAGAAAAGGCACAAAAAATGTTACTAAACCTGGCGGAAAAAACGTAAGCTCCGATAATCTGGTACAAGACCACCAATTTTAGAAGTACAAACAAAAGCATATCCTTGAGTCGGTCTCGAAGGTGAATTTCTCCTGTCAATCTTACATGTGTATCTCAGAGATGAGAGTAAACCATGTCCAAGCTGCCTCCTTATTGACCTGGATGACATTTGTGATGGATCTGTTAAGGTACACCAAGATAGATTATATGCTAAGTCATGGTTACTTGATGATATTAGGCCAATAGAGAGGCCCAAGGATCGCTCTTTGTAAGAAGAAAACTTTAACCAATCTTGGGTAAGCAGAGACACCCGAGCTGCCATAGGAGTTAACAGTCCTTTGAATCTGGGCAAAGACACACCAGCACTAACCTCTGATGTTTGATCCCAGGAGCAAGCCAAAGAACCATCCCAAAGGTCCCCGAGTCCAAAAAAGTTTTTCAGCTTGAGTGATCCTTCAAGTGACCAAGATCTAGCCTACAAAAATAGTTCATGATAAAACCACAAGAGCCAATATGGTGACATTTATGCAATTCTATAACCAAAATGAGCAAAAAAGAGCATATTCAGATCACAGAGCAAATTGAGCTGCTCTCCTGAAGCCAATTTAAAAATGGGTTAATTTTATTGACACCCCCTCAGGTTTAGCCAAATATCACATTGAAACACTTTTCGAAAATTACTATCACTCACATTACAAACATTTGGTCCGTTTTTCACTCACACCCCAAAAGTTACTTTTCAGATGTGTCAGACCACTTTTTACTTGTAAGAAGACATTGTTAACCCTTTGACTCTATGTTGACTTAGAAAAATAGTGGAAATGACTTGGATATCCTTTTATTTTGATTGTGTGAATTTAAAATTATTCTATATATATATATATTTTGGGCACATGACCACATGTTCTAGCTTACTTAAATCCTAGTAAAAAATTAAATTATGTTTTCACATTTTTTGTAATTGAACGTTTCAAAGACAATTCTTCTTGCTGTAATTTTAAAACATCTTATATTGAAGTCAAAAGGGAATGATTCATAAAAGAGGTATGGGATGGTGTATGAATCTTTTTAATTGACATACAGGAAGAAAAACCTCAAGAAATAGAGAACCATAGAAAATGGGAACGATACATTTGAAAGATTTATATATATATACAAGAAATAGAGAACCATAGAAAATGGGAAGGATACATTTGAAAGATTTATATATATATATATATATACACACACACACACGTACATACATATTATCTGTATATGCAACAATCTTTTCTTTGGGCACATGTTCATCAAATACACTGCAAATTAATAGTAATGGCAATCATTATTGATGGAGCACCAAGTGGAAACCCAGGACAAGCAGGCAATAGAAGTGTTCCCTAGAGGCAGGGATGAACATTTCATTGCAGATTCGGGCAATAAATTGCAATTGGTTCAATTTGTGGAAGAGGAGACATGTCATTGTTAATCGGTGTTGTCTATGTAAGACCAATGGAGAGTCTGTGGATCACCTTCTCTTGCACTGCCCAGTGGCCCATGACTGTTGGAGTCTTATGTTGGGTCTTTTTGGCGTTCAATGGGTTATGCCTCGGACTTCACGGGGTCTTATTGATATCTGGAGGGGACAAAGGGTGGGGGCTCAAGTTCGCGATTTCTGGAGGGTGACTCCCCTTTGCATTTGGTGGTGTCTCTGGAAAGAACGCAATAAAAGATCCTTTGTTGGGGAGG